GAGGGTGCAGTCTCACCCTCCCCAACTGCTCCCCCCTCCTTCCCCTTCTCCATTCAGCTCGTCACCTCAAAGCATTAGTAATGCATTCCTCCAGTCCAGCAACAAGCAGTGTAATTCAATTTCCTCGACAGTGAGGCTGTGTGAAATTTCAATTGCGTCTCTGTGTTAGACGGGCTGTGAAAACCTCCCTGCCTCCATCCTGCTTTGTTTGTTTACTGCTCAGCCCGCACAAAAAACAGCAGGAGCCCGGGAGATGATGTAATCTTGGCATTTATCATTCGGGGAAAAAGTGAATCTGAATATTACAACTGTCTTTCAGTAGGCTAAACTAAGAAGAGACATTTTTGATAGACAAATGTGACACGTAGTTAAAGAATTAAAATAAAGTAGCTAGTTTTAAGATAAAAAAGGGGTATTTTTAAAATACAAAAGTCTGTTTGTCTGTTGTTGAATGATCAGTTGCAGTATCAAACGGGGTAACAGCAGCTGGTTGGCGGTATGAAGGAAGTTGACAAAACCAGACTAGTGGCCCGGTGCTGACACTGACCTCTCGCCTGCTGTCTGCCCAGAGATGTCACAAACACAAGGCTGCTTATTCTCCTCAGCTCACATTGAACTACAACCACACTGTCGTATGTTACTGCATAGCGACAGAAATAAACCTGAGACAAAAAAAAATCAGACTCTCTTCTGCATAAGGAAGGCAACAAAACCTTCAAATTTTCTCCTCTACATTTCATTCAAAATGTTGGCACATGTAATTTTTACACATTAGCTGGACATGCCGCCCCGTTTTAGCTGAAGAAACAGATGCTTTTATGCTTGAATTATGCTTTGAGGGAAATCTACACCGTAACTTATGAGGCAACTGGAAACCCCTCTCAGCCTTTTTTTTAAAAATGGTAATACAAATTTTTCCTGCCAATTCCTTTTAATATAATTTTTGCAAATTCCTCGGAGGCGGCAAACCTGCTCATATGTTTTCTCTACAGTAACTGAAATAACTCTGGAAATTAAAATTTAGAATGCAAACCAGAAAGATGTGAATTACCATCATCTTCTTGTTCATTCTGGGATCTTCAGCTTGACCTCTTGTCTTTTTATCAGTGCATGATAAACTGTACTTCATAGGATGCCTCACTACTATCTAGTAAACCTTCCCTTTCAGACTTACAGTGAGCTTTTAGAATAAAGATGAGGCACGTGAAAAGTATGCAACAAAACACAAACATTGGCCCAATGCTCACTTTCTACCCAATGATGACAGACCTCCATGCAATATAAGAGATGAGATTCCTGTGCTGAGATTCCAACTGAAGGTTTATCTGCAAGGGCAGCAAACAAATCACTACAAATTGGTAGCTGCAAACCACAAAGGTACCAAGAAAAAATCCCAGATTTGCCTGCAGCTAAAGTGGAGTAGAGAAAATGCAGAAGAGAAGCTGAGTTGGAGATCCGATGTAAGAAACAGCAGGATGAAATCGACTCTGCGATCAGCTCTTCAAAAATCTTGAAGAGAAAATTGCAAAACGCAGAGAACAGGAAGAGGAAGTCCGCTGTGAGATCACAGAGCTCAGAGTCAAACTCTGCACTATTGAGACCCTTAGTGAAAAAAATTATTTGAAGGCACAAAACTTAAAACTAGAACTGGAAAAGACTAAAACTTTCTACCTGGAAATTGCAGAGAAGTAAAACCAGGACAACACAAACATCAAAAACAAACTCCAGCAAACAGAAGAAGAGAAGATTGTACTGTGGCAGCCTTTGAGTCCAACATTTCCAAACCAGATCATTCTCAGACCCAAAATGAGACACTCCAGGAGAATCTGCAAGAAAAAGAAGAAAATGAGGCCAGTGTTACCCCCCAAAAAACAATCCAGAGGCAGATGCCCCTCCCTGGGCCTGGTTTTGCTGGAGGTTTCCTTTTCAAAGGGAGTTTTTCCTCACCACTGTCACCAAGTGCTTCCTCGTAAGGGATTGTTGGGGGTTTCCCCCCTTTAATTCAGTTCAGTTCATCTCATTTGTATGTAAATACTATTACCAGTTTTGATATTTGGCTTGGTAAATTTAAATTCCATAGCTTTATCTATACTACATGCGGTACATGCAGGAGACAGTTAGCATCAGGTCAGTATCCAGTCACTGCTATGAAGACTTTCTTTTTGGCATCCACAGATGCATCAGCTCATAACAAAATGGTGCAAACAGAGGTGAATCCATGTTTGCATGAGTTTTACTTTGCCTGCCAAAGATTTCTTTGAGTAGGACACTTCCTCTTCAATGCTGACTTCAGTCGATTTGAAGACTTGAAGTTTGAGGAGCACATTTTAAAATGAATTTCTGGAGTTTGAGCTCTCACAAATGTCCCCTCAGGGTCCAAAAAGCTCTTAAACCAACTGATTTATCAGCAAATTTTAAAGAGCGTGAAACATTTTAAACATTTTCAGTTATTTGGAGTCATTTTTGCATCAGTGACTGTAAAGGATTCCCGCCATTTTAGCTGCTAAATGCTGCACGAAGTTCACCAACAGCGTACTGTAATTTTAGAGCTCTGTCTCTGAAAACAGCAGCATGTGGGGGCTGAAAATGAAAGTATCGCCTTAACATTTTCTGAGAAACTTAGCTGTTTAAAATAGTCAAGCTCATATCCTGTTTTGTTTGTGCTGTATGTTTACATTAAATGTAGTGACATCGGAGAGCACTTGATGCTTAAAGAGAATTACCAAAAAAACAAAACAAAAACATAAACAGACCAAAGTGAACATAAAACATAATTTCTAAACAGCATCAATTTAGATGTGCTCTCACCGGCCACTTTATTAGGCACGCTTTGCTTGTACAGAGTTGGACTCCCTTCTTCTTTCAAAACTAACTTCATCACGGTATAGACTCAGCAAGGTGCTGGAAACATTCCTCGAACACTTTAGGCCATATTGACATGATGACATCACACAGTCGCTGTGGATTGGTTGGCTCCACATCCATAATTTCAAACCTCTATTCCAACCTATTCTAAAGATGCTCTATTGGATCAGGATCTGGTGACTGTTAGTCCATCAAACTTGTCATTTTCAAGAAATCCATTTGCAATGATTTGAACTTTGTAAGTATGTAAAACTTTACTTTTATAGTGCTTTTCACAGACATAAGTCACAAAACACTGTTCAAGAATTAAAACATCCCCCCCCCCCCCCAAAAAAAAAAACAAAAAACAAACAAACCCACCCACACACACACATTAAAACATAACATAACAAAGTAGCAGGAGACTCTGCAGAGTCAGCTAAATGGAGCTGGAGTGGTCAGCTTTTCCATAGCCTTAGTGGCACAGACCGAAAGGCTCTGTCCTTCCTAGTCTTTAGTCTTGTACAAGGGACGGCCAAGAGACTTTGAGCTTGAGGTATGGCGTGATATCCTACTGGAAGATGGGTGCACTGTCGTGATGCAGGCATAGTCACGACCAGCAGCAATACTCAGGTTAAGCAGTTCTCAACTGATGTTAAGGAGCCCAAAGTACACAAAGAAGTATCACCCAAATCATTACACCACCACCAGCCTGAACTGTTGATACAAGGCTGGATGGATCCATACTTTGTTGTTTACTCCAATTTCTGACCCTGCCATCCAAATGTCACAGAAGAAATAAAGACTCATCAGAACAGCAATATTTTCCAGTCTTTTATTGTTCAAGTTTGGTGAGCTTGTGCAAATTGCAGGCTCAGTTTCCTACCTGGTGTGATCCTCTGCTGCTGTAATCTTCTGCTTCAAGGTTACATATGTTGAGTGTTCAGAGAGTGCATAACTCAGTTGCACTCTCAACCTTAGTTGTAATAAGTTACTGTTGCCTCCTATCAGCTTTAAGTAGTCTGACTTTTCTTCTCTGATCTCTGGCATCAAGAAGGAATTTGGTGAACTGCTGTTCACTGGATATTTTCTCAGTTTCAAACTATTCTCTCTAAACGTTAGAGATGGTCGTGTGAGAAAATCTTGTATGTTAATCTATAAGATTATCAGACCATGCAACAGTCTGTTAAGTCACCGTTCTTCCCCATTCTGAAGCTTGGTTTGTACTTCAGCAGATCGTCTTGACCGTATCTGCGTGCCTAAATGCATTGAGTCGCTGCCATGTAACTGGCTGATTAAATATTTGAGCAGTTGAACAGTTGTCTCTAAGAACTACAGTGAAGTTTTGCTGCTACCTACTGGATGTCAGGAGGGATTGTCTGTCTCAACAGCACAAAGAAGTGCGATGACCTATTGCACTACATTTAAGGTTTCTTTAATTTTGAAACACAGCATTCAAGCTCAAGACGACCACAGTGTTTACAAAAAAGTTACATCTACAGTGATTTTTTTTTCCTCCACAAAAATTTTAATGAAAAATTTAAGTCTATTTACCATATTCACATTAATGAAGTAACACACGGTGCTTCTACAAATCTAAACTAAAAACAATAAACTAGCAAACCCAATAGAAAAAAAGTTGTTTAAAAATGTAGAAATGAAAGAAATTAAAATGCCAATTTCACAATTTTTTCTTCATTTTGTAATAGTTTATAACCAGTATAATAGCATTGCATTACAAAACAACAAAGAGTATGACTATCTAAAGGAGAAAAACTGCATCAGTGTAATAACGTTTAACAGAATATAGGTGGTTCGAACCAGTCAGGCTCATTTTCTCAACAGACTTTAAGTAAAGAGATTAAAAAACAAAACAGTAAGGGTTGTGCTTAACTTGTTGGCACAGTCTCAACATCACCTCTTGTACTGATCACGAAGCACATCTAAGAAGCGAGCTGAGGAAGCAGAAGTACAAACATCTCACTGCACGTTGCAAAGTTTGTCATGCTTCAACAGGAAACGTAGCAAAGAATTTTCAGATTGTACAGAGAGCACAGTTGTTGCAATCCCTTCACAGCATCCACTCACCCGTAACAGTTTTTGATTATAAATGCTAAAACACATTTGAGAAACACTGCACTGCCTATGCATGAAGCTTCTCCTGAAATTTCTGTTGAGATATGCATATTTTCTTTTTATATACACATTTGGATTAAGAGAGTTAGTCACTGGGAGGAGGAAGCGGTTTCATTTTGCAGGGAAGGCTATCATCGGATATAGATGTGTGTGGACAAGTCCCAGTTTTGCTAAGGGAGCACATGATTTTATTTAACAGGGACATGGTTAATGCATACTATCCTGAAGTGTGTAAGGGGAAAGAAAATAAAAAGGAATATAAAAAAGAAATCTCACACACTCCCCTGCTTCACCATCTCTCTCTCTATATATATATAGATAGTTAAAAGTGTCTGCTTTTTTACTGCTTCCAGTAGTATATAAAAGAAAAATTAATCATCTCACTAAGTGCTGCTTCCCTACAACACAGTTCATCTTTGTCCAATCCAAATTATGAGCTACAATCACAGCTTCACACAGTCCTGGCTGTGTAACAGGGGCTCAACACAGTCTGAAAACAAACAAAAAAATAAAACACGCACACTCCACAGGAAATAACAGGGTCTCGAAAGGAAAAAGAAAATAAAGTTCTCTTTCAAAGGACTATAAGACGTGCAATACTGCAGGAAAGCGGTTTCCAGAAATCAGGTTTAAGACAAAAATGCAACAGCATGCCAGTGCCAGAGAAATCCAAGTGTGTGGTGCATGTGTCACGTGTAGACATTAAAAATAACAATACCTTGTACTTTTAAGCCAGTAAGCAGAAAGCAGTGCTGAGGAACTGAGAAAAAAAAAAGTTTTTTCTTTTTTCCTGTATGTCATGCTTTAGAGGAGACAAAAAACATACATGAACTAAAAAAAAAGTTTGTATGAATGTGCAATGTATTCCTCTCTGAGTATGGTACAGTACTTTACAAATCAAAACAACCAGTAGTAATCAATGTTAGTCTATGAGCATTTCCAGAGTCCTTGACACAGTTGTTAGATGTGACTGGTACGTGTCATGGTGCATTCATAAAGACAAAAAAGGAAAAGAAAGATTCAAAGTCAGCCCTGACACCATCATGTCATAGTTAATTTCCCAGCACCAATGATGATTCGTGCAGTAGTAAACGTAAGCCGAGGAGATGTAGACAAGTTCCTGCACTCATAACTCATGAGATGAGATTTGATGGATGTCCCAAAGCTCTGCTTCAACCAGCCAGCGAAAGCACATTTGGTTTCATATATTAAGTCAAGTCAGGCAGCAAGAAGCAAGAGACTGAGAGAAAAATTATCTATGGGGGAAAAAAAAGATGATGGAGGGGCTTTCTGAGTGACTTCAGTGGCATCAGTGCTGCAGACCAGATGAGCCTGTCGGGGTCTAATGCGCTGGAGTGTTGTTGGGATCTGGTCGACTGTTGGCGAGGTACTTTGCCCGCATGCTGGAGGTGTACTGTGAAGAAAAACAATAAAGAAAAAAAGAAAAAGACAATTCACATCATGGTTTCACTTTTTTCCAGGTACCACTCCTCAAAAAATACTTGAAACCACATTCTGTGTAGGATTCAAAAGGCAGATTTTTACCCTTACAAAAAGAAGAAATAAATAAAAAGAAAAGGTAAGCAGCAGCAGAAAAACAGACATACAAAATACATACATGTACAACAGCTACAGAGTACACAGACATCAGACTAGAAAGAGCTGGACGCAATTTAGGATCATTTTGACCCTCTTATCCTGCCAGACTTCGTGCTCGCTTGCAGGGCCAAACATTCATATAGATTTAGGATACAGCCATGCGTTCTTTGAATACAGGTGATGCAAACACAAAGGCTGCATTTCACACTCCTGTCGAAACACTTGGTTGGCACTTTGTCAGATTTTGAGATCAACCCTCAGAGCCGTCCAGACAGCCTGCTGATATGAAAGCCAAGTATTTCCAACAATATGGGCTGAAACATCAACACTTACCATGCACGTTTAAGTAAAATATTCAACATTAGAAGGGCTGTAACCGTAGACTGTATGCTAAAGAGGGACAAAGCCGCTGTGCCGTTACCCATCAGTTATTGAAGTCCTGCTATAAAGCTTAGCTGAGCATTTTCACTGTTCTTTTTTAAACTAGATGTGATAAAATGGACAGATGTGACTGTGTAACTGACAGATACCACACCTTACACCCCCCATGCAGCAGTGATTTATTAATTAATAGGTAGCCACGCCCTGAAACATGCAATGCTGTATTCTTTCTTTTGCCTATAATGGTGATTATAATTTACACAATGTAAGACTTAAAAAGTGTCTGAGATAATTAACTCATCAGGATATGAGTCACAGATCAAAAAGGAGAAGAGGTCAGTTTTACTAAGGACTTCTATACTGCTGGACTCCGACATTTGCTCTCGGCTCCAGACTTTTTTCGGGTAAAGTAACTGCCCCCTTCTGGCTATTAGAAAGAATGCAGGGTTTAAACACTTGTGCACTGGGCTCACTTTTAAGACTTTAAAGCTATCTGCAGGTTTTATACGCAATCTATGGCTGTAATTGTCTGTCCATCCATTCTCTTCCACTTATCCAATTCAGGGGGCTGGTGGGGATGGAGCCTATCCCAGCTACAACAGGGCTAAAGGCAGGATACACTCTGGACAGGTCAGATGGTGGGATTCAAACCCAGGACCTTCTTGCTGTTAGGGAACAGTGTCAATCACCATGGCGATAATAATTTAGGTTAAGTTTACAATTTCATTGTTTTTTTGTTTTATTTTTTTGCAAAAAGGATTAGAATTCTAAAAATAAGTTATGAAATGTAATTTAATCTTTCCAGTTTTACTGAACAGTTTAAAATCTTCTAGGCTGGGGAAAGTTATTAAGGCTGAACTGTCTGTAAACATTGTCAGCACCCTGCAGTTTTCTTACTAGCTTGTCTCAATGTTTCGAGTCCAGAAACAAAATAAAAATAAATAAATTAAAAACAAATATCAGTATTTTCATATTTTTTCCCCACGATGCATTTCTTCTCAATGCAAGAATTCAGGCAATGCTGGATTCAGTTCAGAACACCGTCATTACTTTCTCATCCACATTGTCATAAATACTTACAGAGACTAACAAGCACAGGTGTTAACTATTCGTTTACATACTCAGTAACCACTGTAGTGATAATGGTGGTGCTTGAGAATGTAAAGAAATGATGGATGAATTTGTTTTTATCATCAAATGTAGTGTCAGTGAGGAAAATGTTAGAAAATAGAAAGACACTAAAGGTCATACCAAAGTCAGTACCTTTAAGTGATATGTCCCTGCTTTACACGCCAGTAAACAATCCTAAAATACTTTAAAATGTCTACTTGTAACTCCCATGAGATCACCCTCGAAGCCAAGAATCAAGACAAAGCACATCCACATTATCACTGAAATGGTTTAATGGACTTTTAATTTAATGTTGACTGTTGTTGACTCATAGATCATGGTGTGCCTTAAGGCAGAGTTACAGCTTCCTCCCAATATATCAGAGTTGCAGGGGGTAAATGGACATGCAGCCTGGGGCCACAGGAAACAAACATCAGGTGAGACACCAGGTAGGACATTTAGCAAGAGTCGGGAGAGAGGGGGAGTGAGGGTGAGGAGTCCATTAGATCTGGTGGGTCCTAAATAAAGGGTGAGTAGAGCTGGGAGCTTGGGAAGTGGTACAGGGGAGGAACAGGCCAGCAGGGGGAGGAAGCGGGCATGTTTAGTACCTGTTAGCATAGCAGATGAGGTTACCAAAACGATCTTGAACTCTCCGAAGGCTTTAACTGCCAGCAGTGACCGCTGTTACTGTCCGCAGCAGTCAAATACAACTGTATGGATCCGCAGAAGCAAAAACAAAAACGACAAGAAGAGAGTATATAGAGAAGATACACAAAGCAGTGTCGAGGTCCAGACAGACACACAGACACCGGGGAGAGCAGGAAATCTGGTGATGTTCAGGCCAGGTATACGCAGAAAGGAAAGACGAGGTTGCCTCGTGATACAAACCAACACCATTTTAATAACTCTTCGGCATCAAAACACATGCACAGGGATTTATAGCATTGTGTTATGCCATTTGTTTACATTATGTTTACTCAATGAACTTCTGATCACCAATAAAAGCAACGCACTATGGACAGTATGCAGGATTTTTCTCCTCTCTGTAACATTTCAAGTGACACACAGAAAACACTGGTGACAGCATGGCACTTCCATTAGCTGTGGTAGCTTTTCTTTTAAGGGTTGTGAAGAAACTATACCCTGGACAGGTTTGAAACTTCAGAGAGGCAGAGAAACATTCATGCACACATCCACATCTGTGGGAAATTTAAAGTTCCCTATTAAGACACCTTTTGTATTTTTAAATTGTGGGAGAAAGCTGGAGCTTCAAGAAGGAGAAAGCAAGAGTTCTGTCGCCCCTTCTTTTAACAAGATCAAGTACAGCACAGCACTGCTAAAGCTGGGAGAGACTGATTAAGACTCAGAAGGGTGGATCCTTAAAAAAAACAAAAAAAAAACAAAAAAACAAAAACCCAAATCAAAACAAAAACAAAACAGTTCCCAGAGACTCATCTCTATAAGGCTTATACTAACAAATGAGCTTTTGTTTTTTGGTACGGCAACTTTCACAGCATAAAGTTTCCAAAAATCTTTTAAGGAAGTCAGGAACTAAATCCGGCGGGTTCTGGTGAATTTACTGGGGTTTTCCATGACTAACACGGAAACCACAGCTTCTTCAACGATTCACAAAACAAAGAAGTGATTAGAGCTTTTACGTAGTAATACTAAAGATATGGGTACTTTTTCTTATAACAAGAAATTTGAATAGGTTCTCTGTTCAAATACATTAAAAGAAAAATGTGTGTAAACAACCTAAGGGCAGAGGCAGGGGGTGATAACGAGAAAGGAAAGCGAGTTAAGCAGAGAAAGCGAACAATCTCCCGATAGTTTCATGGTGCCAATGCCGTTAAGCAAAGATAAACATCCATCAAACAGTCAGTGCATCATGTGCAGTGGAGACAGATGCTCTGAAGTTCTCTGTCTCTCCTTCCACCTTATTATGTCCGCTTACCATTAATTAATTAAACTCCAAGGAAGCATCAAAGTCACACGGCAGTATATAGACACCACCTGTCTAGTTAGCTTCATTCAACATGTCTCTTAAAATAAAGTTAACAGTTTCTAGTTTAGTTCTTCAGTTTTTCCTCTGGTGTAAAGGTGCAGACTGAATACTTTTATGAGGTGCTTTGACAGGAAAAACAACACTTACCGAAGGTGGAGGAGACTCTCGTCCTATCAGTGGTGTGTTTTCACAGCGAGAATTAGGGAAGTTGGCATTCTGAGCCCTGAAGGGAAAAAAAACACGATTGGATCAAACTCAGTGACCACACAACTACAGTGTCAGTACTCACAAACAGATTTGTAGATTTGAAACCATACACTATAAGCATGAAAATCTCCAAGTAAATTATAGCGATAAAAATCATCATTCCCTCCTCAAGTTTCCCAAAATGTGTGCATTATTCAGGAGGCAGACGGCTTTGATTTTCACAGGCATCACAGCTGGAGAACACCAGCTGCATCTGCTGCACATAACATGGCTTGCTATAGGAGTAGAGCTCTGTCTGGGGACAGATAAATTTGCTCCTGAATACACAAGGAATCTAATGTCAGCCTCACTGTGCATAATCTGGGCTGTCTTGTAAAAATATATCATCCACCCCTCTTGCCTTTAATGTGGTTTTCCCTTTAAATTTCAACAGTAATGTCTTACATGTACTCTGTGACGGGTGCGTTGCTGACGGTGTGGGCTGCAGCAGGGATGGAGGTCTCGCTACCATAGCTGCTACCACAGCTGTACAGGCTCGGCATGTGAACCCGGTACAAATTATCATGGTTCTGCCTCCCTCCATGGCTCAGAGACTCGTCCTCACTGTCCTCCTCGCTCCTGCAAAACACCACACAACAATATAAAACCACCACCAGGGGGACCCCGTGTCCCATCTCACTGATAACAAAAGAACATAAAGACGCCACGTGGTCACGTTTTTCATTAGTCTGAGTCACATTCTGATTCAATTTCATCTCTGCTTCGGGAGGAGACAATAAGATAAGGGCTCTGCTTTTTGAAGCAAAGAAGATGACTCAATTCATTGGCCCTGCTCCTTCAAAGAGCCCTACTTTTGCATGTGATTTTTAACAGACCAAGAAAAAAAAAAATTACTTCTGCAAGAACAATGGGATTCTATTTGGTTCTTTTCAAACATGGAAGCTCAGTAGTGTATGAGATAACATTAACTGATTAAACATGGCCTGTCAAAACAGAGCAACAATAACGCTGGCAACATGGAGCCTGTCTCCCTCTAGTGTTCCCACAGGCTGATTTCATGCATTTTTAATCCATGACATCATGGAATCTCATTCAGAGCACTTCACAATACAATCACTTGATTCTACATGGTCAGGAAAACTGTGCTAATAACTTACTGACAACACTAATGCACTGGAAATGCTAAACTTCGATACTAAAAGCACATCTTGATAATGACCTGCCATTTCAAGCTGTTAAGTAATTAGCTGCATTATTACAGCAATAAAATAAAACAAGCTTGGCAGGGAAACTGAGAAAAACAGACTGGTAGCATGTAATCCCTTGCTTTATAACAGGAAGCTCTAGCTGAGATCAAACTGATGAACATGCCCCCCCAATGGTAAGTTAATTATATGGAGCAGCTGAGCTGAGCCTGAGAAACCACATTCCTGTTAGCAAACCATATCTGCTGTTAATAAGAGAGAAATCAGAATGATTTCACCCCACCCCTGCAAAAGACCAAAAAACGTAGTGAGATAGCACATTTGATGGGGGTTTAACAGGAAGTAATCTATTTGAGGATGCAGCTAGAGCCTCCTGGACCTGTACCAGCAGTGAACAAAGACCAGTCTTTCAAGCACAGACAAACGCAAGTCTTACAGAAAAACAATCATGTTTCTCTACCCATGTAATTCCTTGGTAATGTAAAAACAAGTGGCTACAAAAAACATGCAACAAATTCATGATTAATTAATGGGCTTTTCCTCTTGAATTATTTCTCACTGTATATAAAGTCCTCAATATAAACCTAGCTTAAAAGCTTTTGCACCACTTTACAAGGTCTTTCTGAGGAGGACTGTGCAAACTGTATGAGGTCAATGAAAGTCGTACCGCTTGCCTCTCCAGGTGTGCGGCACACTGCACACAATGGAGCTGAACATGAGAGCAGTGACGAAGGAGAAGAGCACGAGGTAGATGAGACCCTCAAGTCCATCATAACAAAGTCCCGTCATGGCCTGGACGTAGTCCTGTAACAAGCACAGGTGTTCATTTTAGTTTTCGGAAGATTTAAACAGGTTCAAACAGTTTTGTTTATTTATTTTTTGATAAACATAAGGGAAAAAGGCAAAATAGAAGGGAAAAAGTTAAAAAGGGGTCTTTAACATGCGTCTGCTTTGACTTCTTGTTTAAACTAGGTCAAACAAATGAGATCACAGTTGGCAAACTAGAGGGGAGCAGAGTAGGTTTTCATCTTTTCATCGTGACTGAAAATGTTTGACTATATGCACTGCAGGAAAAAAAAAAAAAAAAAAAAAATTGTATTCTGCTAAAGTCTCTCTCTTTACATAAAATAATTGTGTTGCTAGCCAAGGAACTCTTTGAGAGAGACGAGAGCAGACAGCACCAAGAAAAGTGCTTCACTTGCACATGTGCACTTGGAATTTGGAAGCCACTGAGGGACAATCTTCCAAAGCACAGACATAGCCAAGTACTTGTCATTCAGCCAGCTTCATAAATGGTACACAGCCAGCATCAGTTGGACAAGAACTTGCATACAGGAAAGGAAACATTATTTATGATGGCAGGTGTAGTCAACTGCACAGGCATAAAAGACGGGCTGCTTTATACAACTAAGCTGCACTACAAGGATGTCAGTACAAATCAAGTCCGCTGGCCCTTTTTCAATCAGACAACGAGCAACCCCACAGTTAACAGTGTCTCAGTTTGTAACTCTTCTACTCACCATGTGCAGGCTGCGACAGTCCACCAATGCAGTGAGCTGATGTAGGCTGATCTCTGTGGTGTTCAGTATCCTCTGGATCTCTTCCAAGCGTCCCTGTAAATTAGCGATGGGAAACTCAAAATGTGCACTGTTGAAAAATGGCTCAATGGCTTGAAACCACAAAAAAAGAAAACAAAAAAAAAAGTGGAACAAAGTAAAAATCAGAGCAGTTCTCATTGTTTACCTGAAAACACACTACACAGTAAGTTTCCTCATCCTGTCTGTTAATATTTTAAACACTTGACAATGGAGAATGAGATAATGTGATTATTCAATGCACATTTATGAGGGATTTGTCTCGCTTCACTATACAGCAGTACAAAGGAGCCAGAGCTGAAAAAGCAGATTATAATATATGATACATTTTAATGGACAGTTCCCTTTTTCCCTCTAGTTCTTTTTTTTTTTTTTTTTTAGATCTGGCAGAAAATGTCTGATTGCCAGATAAAAAAACACAAGTGTTTCCGTCACCTCAGCAAATTTCACTGTGTGGGTATGTGAAGTGAAATATGCCTCCCTCTGTTCCCTATGTCAGCTCTCCTTTAGGCCTCTGTCAACACAGAGTAAGGACCATCCCTGGACAATAGCATAGTGTTGTATTGACAAGGGCCAGTGAAAGCCTAATGCACATAATGCAGGTCCCAGGTGGGCTGTCAGCAGGCCTTTATGTGGACAGGTGCACTTCACTTCTCTGCAGGCCGCACAGGCCCCATTCACTTGTATGTTGTGTCATCACAAACCGTTAGAGATACCATGTAATGTGGGACTACAAGTAAAGGGTAATTTATTGGTGTAGGAAACATACCTTGGTTTGTATATACTCTCTGGTGGCAGATCGAAGCAGTTCAAACACATCATCCTGCATTTCCACTAATGCTTTGTGGCTCCCGGAAAGCCTCTGAAAAGAAAAAAAGACTGAATATTGTAGCAGTCCAGCATATTTCAAAAGTATTTCCATTTTTTAAATCAGTGCCAGAGGCTTTCAGTGGCTGTCTCCTTTTGTAGTCAAGCTGATGTCTTGTGAAATCACGCTGAGTTTATAGAGCTTCAAGGCTTATATAATATATATATAGCGCTTCGTTCTCTATACACAAGGACTAACAATAGATGCCTAGCTTTAGCTGCACTCAAAACTTCTAATTTATTCATGGAGCTTGAGAAATTAAATGTAGGGACTCCATTAAAGAAAACCGCAGTTTCACAGTAACTGTAACTTCTGTACAACATCTCTCATGCCCAACACCCTTTGAAGCAGCCCCACACTATCACCATGGACGTACAGGAAGTGCTGCTCTGCATCAGCTTTCCTGCTGGCATAATGAAATGTATTGTACTACTGCATGGAAAAAAATTGCTTTGAGGCAGTGCGAGTGGCCCATGGTGCCTACTTGCATTCCTCCTAATAACAAGGTCATACATCATGCAGAAAATATGTCTGTTGAGATTTTAGCATTATGAGCCTGAAATGGTTTGTTTTAACATGCACAAAGATGGATCTAATAACACATGTAACAAACCTGCTGGAAGGGATTGCTCTGCTCCAAACTGCAACTAAGGTAGTACTGAAGGGTTTCTGCAAGAAAAAACAGAACACATATGAACATGTTGGCAGAGGCACAAGAAGTTACATGTAGGGCTGCGGCTAGTCTTTATGACGACATAACTTGAAAGCGGTTTTAACTGCCAAATATGTGAACTTTTAAGTTTCCTCAGGATGTTTGTTCTATTCAACTGCAAAGAGGTTAACAACATTTGTTAGCTTATCATATGGCAAATGTGGCAGCTTTTTCAGCTGCTCCCTTAAGGCCAGATGCCCTTCCTGACGCAACTGTTCCAGGGATATGCGTTTGAACCAGGAATCTTTCATGTGCACTTGTTCAGTTTGCTCATGTATGAAAACAGACATGTATGTTGCTTATTTATCATGTATTAATATTATTCTTTTTATCCTGATTGCATTACTGTTATATTCATTATTCTTCTTTGTCTTTTATACAATGAATATCTAGCCTGCAACGTAATTAATTACAGGCACCGTTAGCTTCACTGTTTGATAAACACTTTTTTATAAAAACAGATATATGACAACACATTCCACTTAACTCAAAATGCACTAAAAATTAGAGCAAAATATATTCACAAACAACCTGCACATAACCTATGAAAGGAAATCCTTGCTTTCATAGGTTGAGACAAATTAAGACGCTTAAAAACCCTACCATCAAATAGAGGATTAATCAGCTACAAATCTATTTAAATTAAAAGATACCACTAGCAGCTAAAAAACTGCTATATCACTGTCAGATTTTGTAACATGGTCCAAATGTCTTGCACATCACAATAAGCTGACCTTAAAGGGGAACTAGTAAGCTAATGTCAAGGACCATATATTATTCTTGTAGTCTAGTAATATAGCTCTGCATGATTTACAGTTCAAAAACAAATGTGCATTTATGCAATACTGGGTCTTGGTGCGTTATCTCAGTTCATCCATTGTGTGAAAGTAGTTATTAATGCTCCTGCCCCTTTAAAGGTTTTTTGTGTTTAGCTTTCTTGCACAGCAGATCTGTAAAACTTCTGTGCTCACAACTTGTGCCGACTGCGTGCAATGACCATGTTAAGGATATCCCTCCCCTTTGACGTCAAGCCAAAAATAGACAAGTGCTAGAAACAGCACAATTAGAGCAGCATGAAGCCTGAGCTTTTGACTCACGAGTTTATTTGTGCAAATTTGACCTTCGGTCTTATAGCCATGTTTGAGAATCTACTTTTTCATTGGGAAACATACAACAACAACAAAAAATCACTAACATAAAAAGTCAACTTACTACTAGTACAAGTCTGAGTCCAGGAACATTAAGTACACAGAGGTATTCAGCTGCTAACTTTGTGTGTCGGCCTTTTAGCACTAGCCAGGCAATGCAGCAGGTTTCTGAATGTTTATTGTGAACCCCAGAGTTCAACAATCAAATTTTATTTATGCAATTTCAATTTGCAACAACAGCCTCAAGGCTTTACCAAGCCTAAAGATCCTACAATGTTAAATACTAAAAGAAAAAAGAAAAAAGAGAGGGCTCAATCTCAATAAATTGCTGTGTAAAGGTGGGCATCAGATTCTCTGCATGATTATCAGTAAAAGTTACCACTTTCAAAACATGAGATACTGTCAAAAAGTACTGATTATAACTACTGCAGGACAAGACAGCTATGGCTTTTTTCTATATTTCTCATTCTTGCATCACTGTGCTTCGTTTTCACAGAGTCACTGGTTCAGACATTAAGATTCAAGGCCAAAATATACTATGTTACTGTCTAGTTTTGAGTCATTGAATGCTGCCTTGTAAGACACTGATGGCTACTGTAACTATGAACAAGTTAATCATGAGCTTTGAGGTTAAATGGAAATGTGTTTTTCTCCTAACGCAGCAACACTTGAACAATCAGCACTACACAGCCAAAGAGAGACTTAGGATTAAGCCTTTACTGCAAACAGCTTCAGGAAAACAACACCTCTAGAGTCATTGTTAAATTACAACATGACCATACTTGCAACCTGCTTGCAGTACACGATGAGCCAAAGAAGACTAATTAATTTTTCAGACTTTCGCTTGCTATTACTGGCCACTTCAGTTAGGTTAAAAATCACAGAACTGAGAAGGAGTGGATGAGAAATGCTTTTGCGTGAGAGCGTGACTCAGAAGCGGTGGAATACAGAAACATCCACGGATAGAGGCAGTAAGAACACCACCAACCTGACACATGGTGTTAGTGACGTCCAAACTCACTGCTGTGTCAGGAGCCTTTTCCCACACAGCTGAGCATGAGAAGCGAATTTCCGGCATTTAAAAGTACATATCAGCAAGCTTCTGTTGGTCCAGCTCTCACAACTACACCCACACATTTATATCAGGAGGAGCAGATTTCCTGAAGTCTGTGGATGAACTACGGATGCCTCATCATGGGGTTGGGATCAGTTTTTGTGTCACTTGGTATCAGAACATAGTTAAATGATGACTCAGTTATGGCTTTCATGATCAAATAAATATAACGGACAGGAAGTGGGTTTATATAATTTTCACAGTATTATGCCATTTCCCCATGTAGAAGAATTTGTTTTGCTCATAACTCTGTGAGGAACCCTCAAAAGAAAGGACAACAAACACGTATTGTTCGGTATTATGATTAGAGCCAGTGAGCCATGCCATCAAGATAGCTTTGGCATCCAGTCACTGCACTAGGTTAGATTTTTAGTAGTCAGAACAAATGAATGAGTTGCACTGCGAGTATTCCCAAACACAAGGATGTGTTGAAAATCAGATGTCATATAGACTAAATAAGCAAATGTTCACAAGGAACCAACTTCCTCCAAACACAGAGGGATCAAACGCACAAATGCAGCTGTTTTGAGCATTTATGGAGTTTCTGGAGTTCAAGCCTGCTCAGAGTCGCAGCTCATCTTTGTCACTGTTGCCACCATTTGTGTTGAAAACAAACCATCATAATAATAGAGAAAAACCGGCTGCAGCAGAACAAAATGCAGCCTAAATTTCTCTCTGATAAAATGCCTAACAACCACACAATGAGAAAGCACACGCATGAAAAATAACATTGAGTGTTGTTGAAATGATGCTACCACAACCACTGAGGGGAGAAAAGCAATAAATCCAGTGCTGTAATAACACTTTGTGGTATCCAGAGATTTGTCTAGTCCAATTTCATGAAGGCAAAAGCTGTAAGGGAGAAAAAGACAAACACAAGAACAGAGTCTGGACTTACAGCAGTTTTTTCCCCCCACTTTGTGTTAATACTGTAATAGCAATATACTTACTGCCTCATCACAGTAATAATAAGTGAGTTCCTTTTTTCTGCTAAATAGTTAGCATGTGTTTAAGAGAAAAAAAGCAAAACTGAAAACCCCCACACTGCATAAATTAGCCCTAGGGTAAAATAAAGCGTTAAAGCTGCAGCATTATACAGTTCAGTGCATAGTGAGCCAGTGCTCATTGTTCAGATTAACCATACAACGGAGCATTTAAAGCTAATGTCCTGGTTTCTGCCCAAAGCATGGCAATCTCCATGTTTAAGAGATTAGAAGAAGATATATTTTGTTAAGCTGATGTCAAATAAGGGATTTTAAGCAGAAATAGGAGCACCAAAATCCTTGGTGGCGCTTATAACGTGTGATTATGGGTCTTATTTCAGAGACACATTATCTTTTTCCCCCCTTCCAAGGACTGAAGGAGGATGCAGGAAATATATTGCGCCCTGGATACTGTGCTCCTTGGTTCTTATCTTCCTCATGCAAATCCAAGGCACTATTTTCCCTCTTACATGTGTCCCATCATGAGACAGATAGGGCAATTACTAAAATCAGACAGTTTGAGAGCCTTCTGTAGTGGTTTTTAAAAAGCAGCCCCTTGTCCTTCTGCCCCCAATGCAGATGTGGTAGTAGTACTTGGAACCTGCTATGGTCTATGGAGAAGAGCAAGGATGACCCTTCAGAACAATGAGACCTCAGTGCAGCACAACAAAGCATTCAGATCCTGTTCTCTGTCCTTTCAAAATTCAGTTATTTTGAAGAACTTACTGAATCTTTACCACATAATGATCTTTATAAGAGGAGCTCATACCTTTATTGATGACTTGATACTGCTTTGTCACTTCAGTGACATACGTATCAGGAGATGCACAAAAGTCACTGGTGGTCTAGAAAAACAACACAAATTAGACTTATAAATGAAGAGGACTCAGTTGGTGACATTTGCATTCAAATGCAGTCAAACGCCATCACAGGCATGATTGCAAATGAATCATCATCTTTGATGAACTGATTGCAGCTTTAAAAAACAAAAAACAAAACAATAAACAAACCAAAAAATAAACACTTCATGTCGCTGGCTCCCTCAATCTCTGCTGAGAGCAATCAAACAAAATTAATTAAATAAATAAATAAAAATAAGCACATTTAGGTGTGAACAGCTTGATTCATCTGCAGGGGAGGAAATCCTCCACAGGGATATTTAATTTGCATAAATAAAGATTAATGTTCATCAACATTTTTCAACCTCCTGGAAAATTCATTTAAAATGCCTCTTTAAATTATGTAATACAAAACAATATAAACAAAATATATGGATTTATTTTTTAACCTGAGTGAAGCAGCCAGTTTTACCACTTTCTGCTTCTGGGAGCACAAATTGCAATATTACCCCCATAGTGCATAATAACCAGTTATTTTGCTTCTAATCACACATCTTAATCAATATCATTAGTCTTAAGGATTTCTGTAATAAGTACCTAGAAAAATAAATCACCTGTAAATTGTTATAATTTAGTAAAAGCAGTTTCAATAGAAATAAACAGGTCCTGTGTAGCATAGTCCTTCTCATAGGCACTGCTATTTTCATGACTATTCAGTGTATTACTCCTTATATCTTGACTCATGAACTCTACTAGTTAAATGAAATAAAACTCTGCTCTGCAGCCACAGGCTGCCCACAAAAACTGTTTTCCCAACAGGATCATGCAGTGATGCAGAAACTTACAGCAGAGACAGCGAACTCCAGCCCCAGGGAGACCCAGCTGATTACCAGAGCCACTACACCAAATAGGCACACCCTGGGGAGAGAAAGGAAGTGAGAAGTATATTTAACCAGCAGCAGCTTTCATGTGCAAAAACAACTTAATCCACTGCAGAAAGAAAGATATTTAAGATAGAAAATTTGACAATTTATTCAACACACAAAGATGTGCAGATCAATCTTAAAGAATAGCATCAGCTGCAAAGGCAGAAGGATAGAAGAGGAAAGCAAAGGAAATCACCAACATACATACATGGATAGATTACATAAGCAACTAAAATCAGATGCAGCTAAACAACAATATTGAACAATATTGAGTGATCCAAAAAGAACACAGGATATCCAATATCAAGAAGTGATACTGAGAGTCTGTGTTATTATGTGCAAAGATAGTACATAACAAAATAAATGCAAACCTGTCAGGCCAAAAATGTCACTTGTGTCAAGAGTAGTTATCAAAAATACTGATCTGATCATGATGTGATGCTCCCGTGAAATTAGTTTTAAAAGGGCTGAAATTTCAAACAATCTTTTTTGTATGAACTGAACAGTAATGAAGAAGTGGTTTCATGTATGGTAACCGCCACTCAGCTAAATCATTTCCCAGGTCACAAGAGTTTCCCCTTGAATCTTGTGAGACTCACGCTATGAGTGTTCCTTTGGAGTTGCGAATGAGGCCAAACAGCACCAGAAGGCAGATGAGGACATCGAACAGAAGCAGGGTTATGTAGCCCAGCCACCTGTGAAGACACATGTCATTAACAACAAATGGTCAAAGCAGCACAGCTAACCATCTCTCAGTAAAGAAGTAATTCTCTTAACATCAGTCGCAATGATTTCAGCTTATCCTGTGTATTATAGGTATGCCTCCTGAAAGGTTTGTTACACTTGAACATGAAACCTAAAAAAAATAAAGAAATGAGAACCTGAAAATAACTGAGGTTAAGTCATACTTGTCTTGGGGCAACTTGTAAGTGACATGTCATAAGTAACCCAGAGGGCAACCCTGGTGTGTGAGAATTAAAGTTACCAGCGAATATTTATACTCATTTACTGAAAAGGATGTCAAAGGAGGGTTGGGGGCCAGATGAAGAGCGAATTAGAAAAGCCCTCTGAGGACCCCCAAAATAAATGAATAAATAAATATCAAGGGACCAGTTCACCATGCATCTGGTGGCTGGGCAGAGCAGCCCAAAGTAGCTATAGGGGTCAACTCGCCTGTGGGTTCGAAGCCTTAAGGACTTGATGGTAGTCAGGTGCAGAAGCCCTAGCGGTTTCACCTCTGGCTTTCAAAAACTGACTTTTGGTACCACTGAATGTCACATTTCTGGTGGAGAAGGAGTCTGAGGTGGTGAGTGGGATAATTGCATTAGATATCCCGATCTTAATGGACAGCTCAGGCTACGAAACCAGTTTCCTGGAGTGGGGGGTAAACTTCCATCAGGTCCACTCAGGAGTTGTCTAGGTGAGTGGCGGTGGGCAGGAGTGGGTATATTTGTAATCTCCTCGTTCAGTACCTCCCTGCATGTTCAGGTGAAAGAGTGAGTCATCGATACTGGGGAACTTTAATGCTAACATAGGAAATGACAGTGTGATCTGGTTGGATTTGAACGGTCTGCCCACTGTGAACTTGTGTGGTGTTCTGTTTTTAGACTTCTGTGCCAACTACAGTTAGTGCACAATGAACACCATCTACAAGCATAAGTGTTTTTAAGTGTTTCACAGTTTAATCATCAAATGATCAGATGCAGCCGTATAACTTGGACACTTGGGTGTAGAAAGGAGCTGAGCTGTGGTGCTGGCACAGACATCAGAGTTGAAGGGAGCTGTTGGAAGAGTCCTGTTGGACTTGGTTATCCTGTTTGACTCCAGAGACAGCTGAGAGGTATTGGTAGCTCAAGCGCAGCTCTGGCAGTAGCTGAAGCAATAGCTCACGTCCAAGGAGTTCAATGAGACTATGGAACAACTCATAGGAGGAAGTGGTGCTCTACTCTAAATTGGCCCATTGCTCTAAATGCAATGGGGATTGGGGAGGATTTCCTTAATACCGCTGACATGCCTTCCATAGTAGAAGCAGAGTCCGGGGGTGACTCATCTCTCGCAGGAGAGGAGGTCACTGTAGTTAAACATCTTCTGGGTGGCTAGGTGAATGAGGTTTGCCCTGCATTTCTTAAAACTCTGGATATTATGGGGCTGTCCACAACAGCTTTCCACAATGTTTTCTGCAATACTGATTAGAGGTCTGCAGCAGTGCCTGTGGATTGGCTGACTGAGGACGGGACTTCTACTTGCATATACAAAAGGGTGGCTTGGCTCTCCCTTAGAGATAAGGCGAGTAGCTTGGTCATTTGGGTGTGACTCAGAGTAGAGCCACTACTCCTCCACAAATGAAGTGGTTTGGGAATTTGATTAAGCCCCAGGCAAGACCCAAGATTGGAAACCGTGTCCACCTGTTTAAACTGAAAGATGTGGCTGGGAAGAGCGAGGCTAATAAGCCTTTTTAGGCTGCTGTCCCTGCAACTTGGATAAGATAAGATACTAAAAGAGCACAATTTAAACAAAAATATATGCTTGTAGCTAGGTGGTAGCATTCCTTTTCTTCCCTGTAACTATTAAATCACATCTTTCGAATGCATGTAAGAGCAAGTATTATGGGAAAGGGTTTATTGTTAACAGACTGTGAACCTATTCTTCAAGGATATAATTGGTATATTTAACTGACACCACAATTCCAGGGTATTTTTCCTCTCACACTCACAGTTGTCCTTTGGGGGTGCTGCAGATATCAGCATAACTGATCCACATATAGTAAAGGCAAGGAGTCTCTGTAACCTTATTTGACAGAAATCAGTACATTCAGCTGGTTTTTCTGACTATGTGATAAACAAAGATATATTTTATGCATGAGAAAATTAAACACTGCTTTAATTTTCTAGCAGAGAAATGTAGTCCAGGCTTGCAATTTTTAAGCACGTCAGCTACCTAATTATGGGCTGAATAATTTAAAGAAATTCCTGCTTGCTTGTACCTACCATTGCATCCTGCTATCTTGAATCACTTAAGACATTTTAATACAGAAATACATCCAACACAGCAGCACTGTCTAACTAGGAAAAAACTAACTAAATTTCAATGAAATATAAATGCTGTAATAAGCACCAGTAAAACAGTTCAATTTTTTTCTGCATCATTTTAATAAAATAGATGTAGTATGAGATAATTAGCCTGCTGTTATACCACTGCAAAAAGTGGTGCTTTAGCTCCACTGTCCCAGTCTTACCTGTACCAGTCAAAAAGCTCAATCTTGCCAGCAAACTCATCCAGGGAGATGTTGGAGTTTTCCCAGAAGGGAATCTCCACCATCTGTCTGACCAGCTCATCCAGCTGGCCCTGCAGCTTTTGGATGATGGACAGGTAGTCTGCATGCTGTGCATACTGCCCCTCAAGCTGTTGCAGATTGTCATCAACTGTCTGGTTCAGTGAGGAAGTACTGTCATAGACCTAGAGCCAAAACAGGGCCAAACAAGGCCATGATAAGAGTTCAGACAAGAAAAGCGGGGCTCACTACACAGCTCTAATGAAACTGGGGTTGCTTGTGGCAGCAAAGCGTTTAATTATTAAACCTCTTGGTATAATTTGTGAACTGTGTCTTACCAACTTCTGCACTCCAGTGATCGTGCGGTTAGCATGGCGGAGAGAATACGTCATTCGATTCACTCCATCACAAGTCTCGCCGTTCCCATAGAAACCGACGGCAATACCAGCGCTGAAGGGAGACAAAAGGAAGGGAGGGGACACAGGGTGGTGAGGAGGAGGGATTAGCTAAAAAAGACACAGAGAGGAGACAGAGAAGAGAGCAAGCCAGGGGGACAGCTAGCCAGGGAGAGAGGCGTGTGAACTCTACATTAACCCTGTCGGTTCAGACCCCAGTCAACAGGCTCCTTTGAGCTTCTGCAGAAAGACTCCATACAGAACCATGGAAACACAGAGGAATGGACCAGCTATGCCCCAAGCCCCACACTATGACTGACAAAGGCTGTACTGAGGCAGGAGGTATGCTCCCATTAGCACAGGCAGGCCTCAAGCTGCAGAAAAACAGCTCTCTCTAATGCATGAGCAACAGTTTCCGAAAGCACATCGATGGCAAAAGCAGTTTCACATTTATTAAAATCCTAATATCATTGAAAACATACAGAATTAACTATATTTACAATAAAACTGTTTGATATATTCTAATATTTCAGTGATAAAATATCAACTCCAATTCTGCACAATAATAAAGATTTAGCTCTGACATCAGTTCCTGCATTGCAGATGTGGACATTTTGGAAGCACTTATGCTATGACATTCATCCTATAAACAGATCGTATCAGATGAAATGATTATGAATGAACCATTGTGGGTTAAAAGTGTTCAGCCAACAGCACTCAGTAGATCAGAAGGTTTTCCCTTTTCCTGGAGTGCTGCTAATCTCTTTCTCTCACACTCTGCAGTGTGATAAAGGTAAATAGGAGCAGCTTCACAGTACAAAACAAACTAAACTCCCTGGTGAGATGTGACCCTGTGGAAACTCTATACTATTCATAAAAAGAAAAAAAAGTGAGAAGATAATCCCTTTATTTTTAAGTGATGCAGTTTCTTGTGCAATGATACTGTGATGCTGAGCGTGGACCCACTGTCAACGAACAAAAGCAAAGCAAAACAGAAATGTCAGATCTCTCCAACTTTTTTCCCCCCCTGCTCAGCATTTATGCGTGGGTACAAGCGCGCACACAGATACGGTGATTGTAATGCAGTTCTTGTACTCATCAGGTCCCCAAGCTCTATGTGCTACTGTGAATCAAATGTGATGGCTCTCTTGCGGCCCATCAACAGGAGGAGGAAAACAGGAAACAAATTCAGTTTCCAAGGACAAAAACTGTGTCCAGATGGTACAATTCTTACACTATGCACTTAAAAAAATAATAATGTAAAACCTAAAAGTACATAATGCTCATATACTGTACATCCTCCTCTTCACAAATTCCTGTCACACTGTTTATTCCCATCAGCACAGTTGTGGTGGCAACAATCCAACATACACAGGAATGCAACGGTTTTTAAATTATTCTGTATACAATGGTATGTGGAGGCTTTCAGTGTGGGTGTGAGTGATGTACTGCCTTAGATGGTTCAGGAAGACATTAGCAACAATACAGAAACCACTGAATGAAAACTGGGTGACTTGTAGCAACAAAAGCGAAACAGCTGTTAGTACTGCAAAAGTAGGCAGGCCAGTAATTAGACTTTCATCAACTCTGTGACAAGCAATTGATGGGACTATCAACTGGAGGAAAGGATACTGCTGATTGACATTAGATCAGGTTGTAAACACATTAGAGAGTTACCTATGCAGCCAGACCCTGACATTTCCACTAATTAATAACCATCAGATACAAAGCCTGGGCTTTATTTCGATGTGGTTATTTTCCAACATCGTAAGCACTTTCATCCAATTTTGCAAACTTAATATGATAATACCACAGTGAACCAATAAACTATAAAACTGCACAAATTTAGATATTTATTGAATTCATCCCTATGAACTATGTCACAAAGGACTGCTTGTTTCAGCACGGCTCAACCCACTCTGAATCTGTAGCAGCTGACCACATTATTTGCATATTCAGCTAATAATGGCTTTAGATTGGTTTACTGCCCTTTACCAATGCTTCAAAGGCTTTATCTCTGGCTATGCAAATGCAAAGCAACCAGTACCAAAAACAAAACAAAACAACAAAAAGACAAATCTTAATGCCGAGTGCAGTACCTCCATTATGATTTGCTCCAAGCAAACTTCTATAACACTTCATACTGTTAATCATACTCTAAAACAAAATCAATTCATAAACCATGTGTTATCTGAAAAAGCTATCATTGATTGAATTATTTCATTTTATCATTGGGCTCCTCATAACTCCGTATAACAATTTGCTCAACCAAAATTGGTTTACAAAACAAGAAGAACAAGAGTAGCGCCATGAGTTACAAGCGCTAAATAAACAGTCACACTTGCCATGTTTTCCAAGCTTTAGAAACAAAGAAGGAAATTCATAAACACCAAAATGATCAAACATCCATTTCATTATAACATAATCAGAAAAACCAAAACATTTCTGGATTTTTTTGGAGTCATTTCAATAGATGCATCCTTTGCCAACTTCTGTGTTTGGGGATCTGACATCATGGACTGAACCATTGCCAGTGTTTAGGCTGTCTGTATTGTTCAAGAGTAATATGTTATCACCAACACTGTTTATCACCACTGCAGTCCCATGTTAATACTCACCTACAGACAAGCATTGCAATAATGACACACCAAGCTGTGCAGCAACAGTCGGCGTTGGGCTGCTCCTCGTTTTTTTTCCGCCGGCAGCACAGCCAAATGGAATAGAAGAGCAGGAAGAGGAGGTCCAGAGCCAGACAGGCAAGCGCCACACCTCCCAGTAACAGGATTGACTGGTAAAAAGAAGAATGGAGTTATGGAAAACGTCATAGCTGTTACTGGTTTCTCCTCAACAACAACAACAACTGGGATAAAATGCTTTTAAAGTGTCCCACAATGGAAATGCACACAACTTCAAGTATGTTGCTATCTTATCTGAGTGCTATTTTACACCCAGTCTAAACAGTGGTGTGTGCTTCAATGTTAAACAGAAACATGAAGACAAAATAGTCTGTTGACTGATTTGCAAACTGAAAGACTTAACTGAGAACTTGATCTCAGACACAACTGCAAAGAGCAGCAAAAACCACAAGAATGTATAATGATGTACAATGTGATAGTCAAACCTCTCTCCACTAACTGTAGCTCTTCGTATGTAGGTCAGACAGAGGGCCTATGTGTTCACTGCATGCTCCTGAGGATTCATTGCTGGGGCAGATTTCCATCCACTTTTGTTTTTGTGAAAAACCCAGTGTTGTTCTACTCGTTCAGTTTCCCCAACAAAGCATCGCAGTGAATGACACGCCCTAGTGACCTGTGCAAAGCAGCGAGTGAACACAGCCAGTATTTGACTACTCCCCGTGTTCCCAGTGACATACACAAATAATGCCATGCCTCATCCATGCTGCTCTGCATACTTCAACCAGGAGGAAAGACTGATCATAATGAGGATTAATTTTGGTGCATCACATCTTTACCATCTGAGCAAGATGCAAGAATGACATACTCAAAAGTTGAATCACCTAGATGCAGCCTGAGCCCCATTAATGTCTCAGCCATCTGGATGAGTCAAGAATGTCCCTGAAGCTTGAGAGGGAGCATTGCACTGGCAATAATTAGCAGGCTGTAATTAAAGTCAGTCAATAATTATGGTTTGTAAGCTGTCCCAATGATAACACCTTTTATGTGCAGCACTTGTCATGAGAAAACTGAGAAAAGGAACATATAGCAGATAACAGCTGGATTACCCTTTTAATAGTCTTGTTAAAAGCAACAGGGATCTGTTGCTTTTAAAGAGATATTGTTCACACTGAACTTCCTGAACAGCTGTTATCCAGTAGGGGTGTAACATTTCGCAAACTGGGACCAAAGGAATTCTTTTTTTCTCAAGTTGTGGCATGAAGTGAAATATGGTTTTTGAGAGCTGTTATTCTTTTGTTATATCCATCATATCCTACCAGGATAGCTGCTGTGAAAAGCTGTGAACTTTATACTCCTTAAAATGCTCACTTGCTCCAAACTAAAATCTAATCGCACCATTAAAATCAATGTTTAACTAAAGGAATTTGATAGCAGGTAACATGTTAGTTCGAACAGGGAAATAATCAGAAGTGAAAGTGTAAACATCCTTTTAACTGTATAAGATCTGGACCATGACCGTGAATTGCAGACGCATGTCTGGAACACGCCTTCCTCGTTTCAGAGGAATCGTGATTCACTTCTCGATTTTCTGAATCTTCTTCCTTGGTAAAAGGGAAACGGGGTTAGATCTTGATGCATCTCTTAAAGTTAACTCATGTCTGTAGATTTTTACACTTGTTTTCAAAATGCTCCTCTACATTAATCTGCCTGCTCTTAGTAATCACTGACCCAGAGCTTTATTAAAAACCACAAAAGTACTCAGGATTTGGTAATGACGCACTTTCTAACACCAACAGTATAAAGAACATAGATAAAAAGAGGAATTTAAGTCTGTCGTCATAATTATAATTACCGGTATTATCAAACCTTTTTACAGATCTCTCTTTATTAAAACCTAAATAAAAACAATTACTTATCAGACTAGCTGTACCAGTTTCCACACAATTAAGGACTGCAAAGTGTTACCTGGATCTAACAACATGGCTTTCACAGATGATAAACACCATCTTTGTTGAACATAAATTCAAAAAGAAAGCAATGCATTGTTCATGGCAATTCAAATGTATTTATTGATTAAAGGACAATAGAAATAATGGGTCTGAAGAAGGGAATAACCACCTAGAGCCGGGTGCCTATAATGAACATAACAAGTTGCAGAGACTCTCCAAAACTCTCACTTTATGTGACCTAAATTTAGAAGATTCTATTTAATATTAATCATATGAACAAACGCCCTGCTTTCCCTTCCCCCCAGAGTCTAAACTACTCATTAGACTGTGCAGAATCCTCCTTAACCCCTGCTCTCAGTTTAACCTCCCCGATGTGAGTCTGTTGGAATAAATATATTTTTCCTTTGGGTACTCCAGAGTCTTAATGCCCCCCATGTGGTGTAACAAATACTGACCATGATAAGATTACAGGGAAAATAAGACATAAGGAAGTGGTTGCTTAGGTCAGCTTATGTGGCCTGGATTACACTATACATTGCCAGCTGGTTAGTGTCTGGAAAGCTACACACACAGATGGTGTCAGGGATCAAAAGGTGGAGAGAACGATCAGCTGCCACCAATACAACTAATAATATTAAATGACAACCTTACAGGAAAGAAAAAAAAAACAGACTGTAGCCCAGCATGCCCAAACATGCTACAATTGCGAAATGGAGGTTTGGGATTTTATCAAACTGATACCGAAACAAGCACTTGATAATATCACAGCCCCAAGTGTGAGTCTAGGAACTTGTAGGGTATTATTTTACCTGTTGATACGTCCAGTCTTCTGGTCTGAAGTCACTGCTCGTTTGCTCGAACCTTAAGTTGAAATGTGGAAGTCTGTGCAGCAGGTTCACCCACCATGGTGGAGTGTAGCTAACCACCGCTGCCATGGGGAGCAAATGTCAATGAGATCCACGGACAGCGGGCTGGAGAGAGGGGATGCTTCAAAGTGTAAACACGGAGGGGAATCCACCTCATACAGTCAATCTGTAGCCGGGGTGGATGACAAAAACACATGCAGTAATGTTTAAGTGTTTTCTTCACTCTGACAATCATAAACATTGCATTCATTTATTTTTTTACCTACGTATAAAATCCTAAATGCTTCCATTACATGTTAATACGAGCCCGGACAAAACAACAGCTCGCTAACTTCACAAACACTGATGCAGCTAGCACTTAGCTAACCTTAACTACTCGATGTAAACCTCAGTCATGCTAGTTACTTTCTGTCAACTTAACTATCTCTGGCGTTGTGTGACAATTGGAACTTTGCTCTAATGTTAGCTGTAATCTCTCAAGCACAGAAGTCCATTTAAAATCACATAAAATCTTCGTTTTTTAAGAGCTACTTATACCCGTAAAGTAGGTTAGCCAGCGTTAAGTCTGCTAACGTTAGCCGGTTTAGCTGCTAGTTAGTTGAGTCCGCTGAGAGTCGAGGAGGAATCAGAAGAACCAGTCTCTTTTGTTTCACTTGGCATTCTCCTCTGCGGTTTATTGCATCCTGCCTTGCTCATTTGATAGTTCCTCATTTCATCTCTCGCAGTCTTATCCCACCGCAACGACTCAAACTACCGAGCGAGATCTCCAACCAGTTATCGTTCGTGCGGGAGGCTGGAGCCAACCCAACTCGGCGACTGTTCACGACATTCACCCAGCTGGCAGCCAACCCAGCCCCGGCCCGCAAAAAGTAGCCCAACACCGTCGATATGTTTTAAAAAATAAAACATGACCCAACAGCGCCACCCAGAGGAGCCGCAGCGTAGGGCTATTGGGAGGTTCAGGTAATGTCGGAAAAAGTATGACTAGCTGTCTATTGAGTCATAGCTAAGAAAATTGTCTCCGCTAAGGGGTTTAAGATAGTTAATTACTTTTTTTGAACAGCGGGAAGAAAAATTAAAAGTCTTGTAAAAGTAATGCAATAAGCTTATCTAAAAATATTAAGGAAGGAGAACAGAGGGAAAATGCCAAATTACACAAAATTACACCAGAACCTTGATGGAATTATGAAATCAGAACAACCTCCAACACCCACCAGATTGCATGTGGTGCTATCTAAAAAAATCATCTGACTGATAACAGCTTCAATTGTCATGATGCCGATGAACCCAAACATGATGCCACGGGAGTAAAAGCATACTTGGACAGAAAAAAGACTCCCAAACCCACAGTGGGACACTATTAGTCATGGATTAGCCTCCCCAGAGCTTGGATCCAACATTACTGACAAAGAAAGAAACAACAGGCAGCCAACATCCAGAGAAGAGCTTTGAATATCTTTTAAGAAGCCTGGAGAAGTATTCTTGAAAAATGCTTTTACAATAAAAAATTACAGTAAAGTCTAACCATAAGAGACTTCAGGCTGTATTAAATAATGAAGGTAGTCGTGCCAAAAACACTGACTTTGGGGTATTCGGCAAGCACGGTTACAATTTGTATTTCATATTTCTAACAAAATATAATGAAATAAGTGTGGCTCAAGCCTTTTGCACATTATTCCTGAAAATAATGTGTATTGATAATCTGAGAGTGTTTTCTGTTTATTTTGTTTCATGTTTCTATTCTCTTTCTGCTTTATTGTTGATATTTACGACAAAACAACAACAACACGTAAAGATAATACAGCTAAAAACAGTGCGGTTATGTGTACAGCAACAACGATCACGTCAATTAAACTCTCTGCCTGTGGATCTTGTTATCCCTCAAGCTAAAATATTGAAGGAGCACGTGAAGGCACCATTGCTCATGCAGACAAGTTTAAAGAATGAGGAACAGAGAATAAACTAAAATTAAACCTCCCAAGTGAAACCATGAAATAAATATCCCCCTTCGAGACATTTTCCCCCATTGCAAGTCTGATAAACCTCGGTCTCACAGAGTTGGGAGCTTCATAAATCGCTTCTTCACACCCCAGATCCGTTTCTTGGTTCGGATTAATGCAGTTTAAAGGCACAATTGGTGATTAACTGTGGCTGTAAGTAAATTACTGCACTTAATTCATGTGGATTATTCATCTCTGGGCTCGGACTTGAGCCAGCGATCGCTACAACTTTAAGAAATAAATTGCATGTTTTTTTTCTTTTCTTCAGGAAATCACATGGAGGTGCTCCCGTGCTCACATGACAGGCTGAACCATGGCAGGAGAGATCAGTGAAGGTAGAGTGCCAAAACTTCTTAAAAGTCCTTTTTATGACACTATCGCCAAATGATTTCCACATTGGATTTATTTATTTTTCTCGACGTTGCGATGTCGGAAAAGTTTAAAGTGTGAATATTCCTGCGAACTAAAATCGCTATGAGAATTTCTGAGTAGGCAACATTACGATCGGAATCAATCTTCTTTTAAAAAGCCGTCATGTGCGCGTTTTATCTCACCAGTTGATGCTTTCTTGATACCAGTAAAGCTACAGTCTTGGTGATTTTTCCCGGTAAAGGTTATGTAAGCGGTGAACAGTGCTACTTAGTTTGGGAGCTGTTTTACTTCCATTTGGAAAACTTTCCCTTGCCCACTGAAATACCTAAAAACCCCGTAGTGATCTTATCTGAGCTGTATTAATCTTATCTAGTCCGCACTGCTCTAAAACTGAAGTTGTTAATATAATAATTCCCGATGTTTTTTTTCTTTCTTTCTTGTTTGTTTGTTTTTTTTTTTTGTCTGTTTTTTGGATGCCTTAAAAGATTCAAGGCAACACAGTAGCCTGTAATTTCTATGAGGGGTAATATAAAACCACGAGATAGGAAATAAATCCTGTAGTTTCATAAAATTAGTTTCTCGTGACCCCTGCACTGGTTACCACTTCATTATAATGATGGCATATTTCTCATATTTGGGCAGTTGTGATGCTATGTAGGTGTTGTTCCTCTTTTAGGCTCAGTTCCTGCCTATTACAGGGAAGTGCATGAGGCCATCCGCTGTAGGACAGATGAGAGAGTGCAGGTTGAGGTTTTTCAGCGGCTGCTCCAAAGGACCGATCTCTCCAAGGTGGTCTTAAACCAGGTGCGGGGTCCACATTTAAAGCATTCATGCTGCGACAGGTAGAGACTGCAGTGTTATTTAAAACTGTAACTTTTACTTATTAACCGGCACTGGCCCAAAGCAGCCTACTGTAATGGACTATACAGCCCACACTGAACCGAAATAATAGAGGAATATCCCATTGACTCATCCCTATTTTTTGCATATTACCAATGTGACACATGCACTCACAGTTTTATAGTGACATGAGGCTGGCATAGAAAAGGATTACAGACTGGTGAATTGAAGCCTTTAGTCAAAGAGACAATTTAATAAATTAAATGGGCTGCTATGCCACATTTTTGCTCAACTGTTCACTTTAATTTTGATAAGGGATGCTTTGTGAGTTAGTGTTAGCAAATGCAGACAGAGTAGATAAAGACATAATATTTTATCAGGTCGCCACTGTGAGATAGGCTCCAGTGCCCCTGTCACCCTGAGTTGGAGGAGTGGTTGAGACAAATGATAGTGGGATGAATATCTTATCAGCAGGAAGTATTGTTGGCTTGTAGGCATTGAATACATAGCGGTGTATCCCCGTGGTTTTTGTTTGCATTAATGCTGAGATGTACAACACATCCACAATATGAAATTCCTCTGAAGTTACAATGTCTGCAGGTTTCCCATTTCCCCTTCCCTGACCTCATTGCATATCATTGCCTTTGTGTATACTGCGCACTTTTCGCAAAAGGATTGTAAACCACATTTGAATTTGGTTGTCAGACTGTAAGATTGTGACCCTGAGGCCATATTGTCTTTGTTCTCTTCAGATTGCTGAGCATCTTGACTCCTCCGATGGATTCCTGAGCAAATTATCACTCTATAAAGCACTCGCTTTGATTGCTCTCGCTCAGCAGGGCAAGCAACCGAGTCCCAAACTCTTGGAGAACTGCATACTAGGTAGGGGACAGTGACAGCAGTGTAGTAAATGTTTTACTTAATGAGTAGTTTGGAAAGTCTTCAGTGTGTAAAACGGCAACGCCAGCATTTCCTCTGCTGTCAGGATAAATGATTTGCAAAGATACAAATGTCGCTCTTTTTATTGACCATGTAGATGTAAGGTTTCACTTTTAAATAGAAGGTTTTTTTTAAATGACAGCTCTAAACCGAAAAGTACCAACTGCATAAAATATTCATTTCACTTGCCTCACGTGGCTTCATTTAGTTTTATTTTATTTTGGTAGGGAAGACTTTGCTATATTTAAGTGTTGCATTCTTTCACTAGCCCCACAGAGGGAAGATGACAGGGGGAGAGGTTTTTATGGTTTTCATTGAGGTAGCCATTATGCTGGCTTGAGTTAGATCCATCCCCGACCTTCTGTGATTATTTAAGGCCCTCTCTGTTATTTCAGGTGTGGCCAGTGTGGCAGCTTGCTGCATGCCACTTCCTTGTCAGCTCCAGAATGAGTCTTATGCATTTGTGGGAGTACATTACATTCAATTCACGTTCTTCCTGGAATGTCCTAGAAGAAATGAAAAGCAGATCACATGAATGCTACACACAATACTGGGCTAGCAGGAGACAAACAGAGGGAAACACGTAGTCTTGGTTTTAACATCGGCATTCCTCGCAGTTGGGAAATTCACTTCTCTCTAGATTCATTGATTCAATCACGGAAAACAAATATTGGATCTTGGTTGTTGCTGTGTGGTTGTCAGAGTTACCGAAACCTCAGCTCGGGGAGCCGAGGGACCTGAGCACGCTGAGGATGCAGCCGGCTCAGGACGACGTGCTGACATTGTCGCAGACGCTGGACGGGCTTCTGGGGAAAGACACGGTCCAGGTGGAGCTCATTCCTGAGAAGAAAGGCCTGTTCCTCAAACATGTGGAGTACCAGGTCACCAGCCAGGTAAAACCTGATACATTAAATATGTGTGTTCCAATGGTCTAGAACACTATGTGAACTACTACACTATTACTCTTTCTCTTAAATTTTCTTGTCTTTTTGTTTTATTCAGCGTTATAAGATATCAGTTTACCGGCGTTATAGCGACTTTGATGTCTTCCACGAGGTTTTGCTTCAGAGATTTGCCTACAGAGTCGTGCCAGCTTTGCCACCTAAAAGGATGTTAAAAGGAGGTAGGTCAGGGTCTTTGTTTCTGCATCGAATCATTTTACAGTTTATTTTTTTTAGCTGAACATGTCTATTACTTCAGATTTGTTTGGAGATTATTTGGGTGTATACTCTCGACAGAATGGTTGACAAACACGTGGCCAAGCAGTTTGGCGGGTAAAGAATAAATAATAAAAATAAAGAAACTAGTGATGTGTAAAAATCCAGCTGTTTCCTCTTTATGTAGATTCTTATGCACTGATGAATCCTCACAAACACGCTTGGTTAGACACCGACTCCCTTACGTCTTAATCAACTGTAGAATATTTTAAAAAAATGTATCATCATATGCAAATCAACCTTTCCACCATTGGTGCTTTTTGATGCATAACATCGGAAGAGTTCTCCATTTATGGTTTTTGAGTAAATTGACATGGACTTCAAGTTTAAGCTAAAGTTTGCCCCCTTTTATACCCCGAACACCCCTCTCTGTCAGTGCTAACACTCCTGGTCAAACTGCTCATCGTGTTTGCTCTCTGCTGCGTCTGTCCACAGTCCTGACCTCGCTCTCCGAGCGGGAGTTCATTGAGGGGAGGAGACGTGGTCTCGGCAGATTTCTTAACTTGGTGGCTCGACATCCCTTCTTCTCAGAGGATGAGCTGGTCAAGACCTTCCTCACTTTCAGTGGCTCTGTATGTCGTTTCTTTAACTTACTCCCTGTTTCTTTTGTGCTGGCTGTTGCACAGTAAGCATTATGGTCATGATGACTGACAGTGCAATGCATCCTGTTTTAGCTAATCTGTGTCGTCCCCCCCCCCCCAAACTCTGACCTCCTCACCCTCCTCTTCCCACACAGGATGTTCAGTCTAGGCTGCGTGACACTTGTAAGAAAACGGGTGACGAGTTCATGATTAACAGAATCGCAACTCAGGCAAAGGTTTGCACATGGCTGATGACTCCAGTTGTACTTTTCTCATAAAGAATCGCCTGCTTTTAAGGATTCAGACGGCACAAAAGAGCTTTGCCTCGCTTGCGTTACAGGAATATCTCCCAGCTGACATTCAGGCTCAGTTTTCGACAAGCAGAGAGATGATTAGAAATATCCACAACAGCTTCCAGAGGCTGCGGGACAGAGCTGAGAAAATGGTGGAGCGCTCTAAGGACAATGCATCTGATCTCCTCATGTTTGGCAAAGAGCTCAGGTATTTTATTATTACGGGTATAAACTTAATCTTTCTGTAGTATCCGCAGGTATTGGAGTTTTTGGTAATAAGGTTCAAATCCTCAGTGTTATCTGTGATTCTGTTCCTGGTTGTTAACTTGAAATGAGTTTGGCAGCTAGCACACCACAATATTACTTTCTCCCTCTGTAATATTGTATTTTCTGCAGTACACTGGGCTCAGATGCCTCGCCTCTTCCCTCCTTGGCCTCTTCACAAAGCACCTGGGGGACCCTGCGCCAGTCGCTGAAGAGCCTTTCTGTGGAGTTTGCTGTGCTGTCTGACAAAGCTGCTCAGCAGGTACAGCCCTCAGTCTTTCATCTTCACCACCTGCTCTGCTGTGTTTGTCCAAAACTGGCACTGGGTAATAAATGTTGTTTTGTTAATGTCCTCAGGGCCGGCGAGAAGAAGATGATGTTGTGGAAAAATTGAATCTTTTCCTGGATTTGCTGCAGTCGTACAGGGTGAGTGAGTTTCACTTTTGGTTCTCGCCTTTCACTCCACCTCCAGGGGATCCTCAACCTTTTGTGTGGCAGTTACTTTAGTTCCGCCTGCTGTTTTCTGATAGAAGCACAATAAATATTTGTAAATTTAAATTGAAGTGCATTTAGTAACCAAAGTCAGACTATTATGTAATGGACTGTTTTAACCTCACTCCATTGAAATTGCTGTTTTTATTCGTGGGTGGAATTTTTTTGATTTTGCAAAGCAGCTGGTGGGTTAACAAGAAATCATTTTCCACAGCGTCTATCAAATCTATTAACCAAAAAACAACATGCATAAAGTTCTTCCATTACCCCTGGTTGCTATGTGCAGCACAGCGTGTTTCCCTACAATTTGGAGTCAAATAAAGAAGTACTTTGTTTCTCAAGGATCTCTGTGAGCGGCATGAGAAGGGCGTCCTCCACGAGCACCAGAAAGCATTGCACAAGTACAGTGTGATGAAGAGGCAGATGATGAGTGCCACTGTGCAGCACAAAGAGCAGGCATCTGTGGAGCAGCTGGAATCGCGAATTGTTCAGGTGATCATTTCATCTTCTCTTTTTGTGAGCCTTTAGAGTGTGAACTTCTTTATTGCTTTAAAAGTAAAATTCTACAGTGACTGAAGTTCATATAAAAGTAACATGTGCCCTGAAAACACACACACTGACCGTATAATTGTGTGGGTTTGCATATGAATGGAGCTATAGCCTTGTGAGCCATTTAAAAAATAAAAAAATTAAAATGTTGGGGATGAGAGAAATTTGTCAGCTGCACATTATCCTGTTCCACTACATCCCAATGGTGCTCTATTAGATTGAGATGTATTGACTATGAAGGCCATTCGAGTACAGTGAACACATTGTCATGTTAACCTGCTGAAAATGGCCATCAGAAGATGGGGACAATGTGGTCATAAAGGGACAGGCATACTCCTCAATAGACTGTTTAAACACTTAACTGGTACTAAAGCACCTGAAGTATGCAAAGAAAATATCCCCGTGTTTCTACATCACTATCACCAGCCTGAACGAAACAGGGTGGATCCATGCCTTCATGATGTTTACACCAAATTCTGACCTTACAATCTGAATCTCACAGCAGACATCAAGACTCATCAGTTTCCAGTTTTGGTGAATCTGTGTGAATTTGTAGACTCGGCTTCTTGTTCTTAGCTGACAGAAATGGTATCTAGTGTGGTCTTTGACTGTTGTAGCCCTTCTGCTTCAAGGTTAGATGTGTTGTGCATTCAGAGATGCTCTTTTGCTACTTTTTATTTATTTTTCTGTTACTTTCCTATCAGATCGAAGCAGCCTGGCCATTCCACTCTGACCTCTGTCATTAACAAAGCATTTTCAAGCCATTCTCTGTAAACCCTGGAGATGGTTATGCAGACAAAATATACATAAAGTGTCCCATCAATGCATATAATGCTCTCTAAAAACAGAGATTATTAGTTGACTGATATGTGAGATATGTATTATTATGTACAACAGTCATAAATGAATGATGAAAGGTAATTGCAGTGTTGACGTGACAACACAAAATGGAAAATTTTAAATCCTATAGACTCTTTTAAATGTAATTGAATAATTTGTGTGCTTCTTGTTTTGGCAAAGAGAGTAGAGCTTCATCATGTTTTATTTTTTTTCCTTATTTAGTACCAACACTTGTACATATGAAAATAGACAATGCTTACTCTATAAAGTGTTTTATTTCTAATCATTTCCATCCTTTAATAAACGGTAAAGACATCTTCCTGTATGTTTATTCTAATAACAGCAAGAAAATGCCATCCAGACCATGGAGCTGCGTAACTACTTCTCCCTATTCTGCCTTCATCAAGAAACACAGCTTATCTTCACTTACCTTCCGATTACCTCGCACATTCTCGGATCTTTTGTTAACTCCCAGGTCCAAGGACACCGAGAGGTGAGACAGTTTTTTGAAAATAACTTTTCTACAGATCCGCCTTTATGGCGACACCACTCCAGGAAGGTCAAATAAGTTTTAAATTGGCTACTGAAACTGATGGATGGTACAGCTGAACAGACCGAACTTTTTCATCTGGGATTAGAAACCAAGCAAAGCAGTAATGGTTATGTACTTCCTTCTGATCGCTGGTTTTCAGTTTCTGTGGTTCAAGCACTTGAATGCTTCTTTTTTTTTTTTTTTTTTTTTAAAGCTGGAAACTATTGAGCAATATATTCTGTGCAGTAAAATACACTATTGTTTTCCCTTTCTTTTTAGATGGGGGAGGTGTGGAGTGAATTGCAGCCAAAGCTTGGGTGTCTCTTCAGCGGTAACAATGGACTGAAACACTCCATCTGAAACCTAAATGTACATGAGATGAAAAAGGAAAAACACAGCCACTGAGGATTACAAACTACAAAATAATGCTAAAGGGGGGGAGCAGAGCTTTTTCATTCAGTTTTGTTTTGTCTGATCATTGGCCATATCACCTGCATGGAACAGCTGGCTCGTAAAACACTTTATGCTCTGCTTCTGCGTAAAGTCCAGTTCACCATTAACTTTTTATAATTATTTGAACATGTCAGGAAAATCCTATGAAGTGTTATTTTACAACGGATACAAGGCTGGTGCATTAATTTCTGCTTTAGTTAAAGCACCTGTATGTGATATTTAAATTTTCCACACTAAGATGAAATAAGTAGTAAAGGACAGAAAGGCTGACTTTATTAAAGGGTGGGACTATTAAAAACCTTAATGTTCTTGCTTAATAACATTGAACCAGTATATTATTTTATTTTATAAATGTTAGTTCGTAGGGATGTGTATTGGCATACTTTTCCTGCTTTTTGTTTTTTTTACAACAAGAGTTTTCGCTGCCTGAAGTATTTGCAAGCGTCCCAGTTTTTATTTTATAAGCTATTTCAAACATCTGACCTTAAACTCTAGGATAATATGAAGGGCAGAGGTGAGATCTATGAAAGGATAATGTCTGGCACTAGTGACATAATGTCAATAATAACACTATAAGCTATTGATTTACTACCAAAGACAAAGCTGCCTAAATACACTCCTTTGCTGTACATAAAAGCAGGACTCCTGCATCACCCCAATTTAACAATCATCACTTTTAATTTTTTTAAGAAGATTTTTGCGCACATCAGCCAACAGATGTATTATTATCTGGACAAAAATGTCTGAATTTTGCTGGATTTTCTTCTCATTCACTGTCTGACTTTGTACTTTTCTAAAATTATGTACATTTTTGGTTTTTTGTACACACATACTGTCATATAACAGAGAATATACTTTACTCAAATATATGTAACAAAGGTGCAATTTGGGGTTCATGTTAAAGAAGCTATGTTCCAAATTGCAAATGAACTGGTTTAAACATGTATTTTATGAAGAAACTCCCATACAGTATGAAACAATTATTTTAGTAATCGCCTTAATTTTGGAAACGTGCTGCACAGAATATGAAACCTAATGAATTCAGAACTGTATATACTGTAAATATTCCACTAAAGAGGTGCTTCCTGAATTGTGTTGAATCAGATACTCTAAAAATAAAATGAGAATATGGATGTTTTCTTTCAGTGTAGTGCTGCTTTGATTTTCATGAGGAAAAATCCCTGTAAAGAAATAAAAAGGTTTCTAATTGTGTTACAGCTGCGTAACATGTAAACCCTCCACAGGATATCTTCGTTTCCTCCGCATAATGACACAAAACAACCGTTGGATTATTCCTGGTATTTCTCACAGGTTTTATATTGGTCCCTGATGTAAATGCCACCAGTAACAGCTCGATTATTTCCCTTCAGAGCTCCTCCACTTCTTCCAGCGTGTGGCTGAGAATCACATCGTGACCCTGAAACTTGAAGTATCCAACAAATTTCTTCTTCTGCAGCATCAGAGGGAACCACAGTATATCATCGGCCCACATCTGACTGAAAGGAATTTTGTCACGTTCGAACCACTGGGGCCTCATTTCTAGAAAACAAAAGAAAAAATAATTAGACCTCCGGAGAATGAAATAGCATTTTATCATCTGCCTTCAGATATCATCTGCCTTTTCACTGTCATTTCTTAGTTACTGTCCAGAGAATGGAGAGAATTATTATTAAATCAATTCAAGTTGCTTTAGGACCTCAATCCTAAGTAGACAACAGACATCTGTATTACAGTAGTGCAGATAACACTTGCACTCATTTCCTGCCTTATCTTATCTGTTTTATACAAAACAAAACTTTTATATGATAAGCTGTTAAAATCAAACACTTAATGTTATTTGATGTGCCTTAAAATGCTCATAAGTGTGCTGAAATAATTATTGTCACTAAAATTACTCTTTTTAGAATTTTTCTAGTCAAAGATTAGAGAGAAAAAACCACCATATTCATTCATTCTTTCTTAACCTTAAGAAGATGATAGAAATGGTTGGATCTTTTTTTTTTTTTTTTTAATTTAATGGCTTGACTAGACTATTCTTGACTAAACAAACCTCATACTTAATTAATCCCCCAATTGGTTATTAGTATTTTCCAACTTTAATTTCTGTTTTGTTAAATCAGTGTTAAAACCACATTACACAATTTCCCTTAACTTCGCCACATTTCAGTTAAGCTTTTTTCCCTCTACTTATCACTTCACCTCCTGACTGTTTGACTTCTTTTACCCTCCAGACTCTTTGGTTCACTGCTAATGCCTGAACGCTCGAGGAGCTGAGGTTTGCCGAGCGCCTCCAGACTTCACCTTGCTGACCTTGGCTAAATTGCCTGGAAAGACATCCTTGCAAGTTCTTCCTGCTAAGGGCATCAACTCTTCTTTGTTTATTTACAATCTTTACCACTGAGAGCACAATTATAGATTTTTCTTTCCACTTCACAAATATACTACACACGCTCCTACTTCTGTGTATCTCACACAAAACAGTCAAATAGTCAAACAAAATCCAACACAGGATACGACTGGTTTAGACAATTGCAGACCCGTTTCCAGACTTCTACTAATTTCTAAAATAACTCGCAAAACTACTGCTTACCAGCTTTTTCAGCTGGTTGAGGGACATTGTACTTAAAAAAAGTATACCAGTGACCAGACCAAACCAACTAACATATTATTGATCTGGTATTTCTGGCACTGCTCTCAAATTTAATAATAGTTATTTGACAGAGACTTCAAAATTCATAATAACTTTGTCTTTATCTTCTCTTTTCCCATGTGACATCTCTCAAAGCTCCACCCTTGTACCATTTCTGCTTTCATTACATATTTCATGTTTTAGAGATCTCATATTTCTTACTGCTGCTCATCTGATAATATGTAGCTATACTTTCCTATTACACCTATCAACCAGTTTTCACTATCATTACCGACTGAGTGTCTTTAAGTATCTCAAAACTGAGGCCCATGTGTTCAGGCCTGACAGCTTCTTTAAGGAGATCGGTCATTAGCCCTGCAACATCAAATAATCTGTGAGGAGTTTTGCAGTTATTTTGACCAGCATTTGAATTTTGAACCTCAGCTCTCTAACCTCATGTACTCATTTCTTTCAAATAAGAAACATCACTAAAATCAAACCTTTATTGTAATCTTCTGCTTTGAACACACACTCCAATCTTCTGTCTGCTTTAAGTTATTGTACCTTACCTTTGATTTGCACTACTCGGTCCTCCCTAGAGTAGTGCAAATCAAAAACCACAAAGTGCTTGCACATCACGCCTATTCCTATTCTTGCTATCATAAACCTTGCATGGAACTCAAACGCCATGAAACCCCCCCAGTGTAGCTGCACTATGACAGATTGGCATAGAAGAGTGGGCCAACATTTTAAAAAAAACCTAATGTCAGAGCCTGACTCTAGTTATTAGAAGAATTTGGCTTCAATTGCTTTGCTCAGACTGCTTGTTTCACTTTAAATTTTGCTGGAAAAATATAAAACTAGAAGAGCCTGCAAAACAAAGCCCCCTGAAGATGTCAGGAGGAGGTCAAATGCTTTTCACAGACTTCACAGAACTCTTAACTATGAACATCTGCTCCAGTACTGCACAATTATTAGCTATATTATAGTTTTCCTTGCTACTTAACATTTCTACTCAACTCCATTTAAAAAGCTTCTTTCGGCTGCTCACTTATTATTAAGGGGTCACCAAAGTGGATGGATTTGCATATTGAACAAATTTGATTTTATAAAACCTTTAAAATATTATTTTCAATAAGAAATGTGACAGATATGAAAAACGAACTGTTGATATAAGTTTGGGTCAAACATCACTTTAACAGTAAGTTACAAAAAATGGTTTATATCATGTTATTAGGACTCAATTATATTTATTATAAATATTTTGAAATATAAAATATTTTCGTGCCAAATTGTTAGGCACTGTGCAACAAACAATCTTTGCATCTCCTCTCATAGGGCACCATTATCTGAAACGTATAGGCAACAGTGAACTAAAATTCACCACCCCAAGCTCTCTGCTTCCTCTCATTTCAACCACTTTCAAACTATGATACCACTGGATTTCTTCATTTTTCAGTGTGGTGCAGTGGATGTGATACCATCGGATTCTGTCGGTTCTCCATTATATGTGTCGGCTCTGAAAACATGGACATCAAGTAGCTGCGTTTCTCCCACAAATTCAAATTTGATATTTCCGATCTTGTCGAGTGCATCCACCGTGAGACCACTTTCTTCTTCCAGCTCTCTGAAAGGAAAAAACATCAAATAAATGATTAATTACGTGGGTCTTAAAAATAAGCTCACCGTAGACGTCACACGGGCACTAAAAGCAACTAAAAATGGCAAAGTAATGATATCGGTGGTTCTAGGACGCAATCTATTTGTGGCATTTGCTTTACCCTCTACACAAAACATTTTAAGATTATTAAAAAAAATTAGTATGAGAGTGAAAGGTCTGGATAAGAGCTTGTGGGCTGAACATTGAGATCAGGGTCAAAGTGTTGTTGCAAACTGCAGAGGGTAGTAAAATATGCCAAAATAGCATGTTCAGGTTGACTGAATGTCAAATTTGTAGTACTTTTATTCTCTCCCATCTTTATTTAAAAAGCAACTAACCATGAACTTACCATTAATACACTAATATGTGACGTGCTTTCTAATAAAAATGTGTCGTCAGAGAAGAAATTAATATAAGAGCTTTGTCGCTTTCTATGAAGGTGTGGCAGGGCGTGGTCTGCGGTGCCGCTGCAGTGGAGGCGGACGCACCTGAGCGGCATCCGCAATCACGCCTCGCCGGCATAAAGAGTCTGTACTGGGTCCTGTCAGTTCCTGTTGTTGGGTGATGTGCTCGGCTGGTGGCTGGAAAGCTGCAGCCGTGTGTGTCATCATTCATTTACAGAATGTTAAATCTTGGTAAAGGTACACTTGATACATATCTTACTCATCACAAGAGCTTCAGAGATAAGAACTGTTAGGGGCAGGGATGACGACTTTTAAAAGACTGAAAAAAAATTCAGATTTTCTGGAACGATGCAGTAGCTCTTTTTCTTTTATTTTCAGGGGATTCATCCCAATCATAAAAAAAAAATCAACAACTGCAAAAATGATGCATTAGCAGCATCCAAGAAAACACTCCACATTAAAAGCTGCTGGTAGATGCCAGCAGCAAGTGAATTTTAACGTCCCTTTCACAGAATATTATACATTACACTCAACATATTAACAGACACTAATTTATATGATTAGGACTATTAATTACAAACTGCAGTTTTCCTCTTTTTCTTTTTATTTAATCACACTTTTTAAAAGAAGCTCTTTTGTCTAGCAATATTCTCAGTCACAGCACGTTATCTAAGGGTCCTCATTTTAGCTTTTTAGTCCCCAGTACTCAAGCCAAACACAACCTTAAGTTCTCTTCACTAAAAGAAATGTTTTGATTGGTGTTGGCCTATTCACTGACCAGGACTTATTAAATGGAAGGAGTGAAGCTAGGATTGAGAAGTGGGTTAAGATGATTTTCAGTATTGCCCTTACCTGACCATTACATGAAGAACTAAGTGTTTCTAACTCAGTCTTGTTACCCATCGCATCCAAATATCCTAAACACAAAGCTGGTCTCACTACGTGTTTAAGGAAAAACGGCTTGAGAACTCGCCCGATAGCTTTTTGGGGGTTTCCTTCCTTTGCTTTGAAACAAATTTCCTGCAGATGATTGATCACAGATTGTCCAGACTTCACATTAATGTGTTTCCCCCCACACACTTACAGAGTACTCAAAACATATCAAACTCCCTCTTTTTCAGTCGTTTTCTTAACCCTTGCACAACATTGGTACTTTGCTGTTGCATACAAACAGAGTTTCGTCTTAAAATCCCAAACCCAGTGTTATGTTTTGTCATATGTTTTTAATGGTTCATGTTAAAGCTATAAGTGTATTGATACCCTGGCAGATATCAAAGTGGATATTGATGTGATAATATGGACTGCGAAACTGATTAAACTAGATTTAGAACTACTTTAGATAAAACCACAAGGGCTATAAAAATTACACCTGTAAAACCCTAAAAGATGCTTTGTGTTTGCAGAAATTTGTGCCCCCCCCAAAAAAACAAAAACCCAACTAGAAAAACAAACAAACAAACAAAAAAAAAACATAGTTGCACATCCAAACGTGCTGTGGTGGGGATTCAAGAAAATAGTTTGAGATGATTTAAGCTTTGGGATGAAGCATATTATCCTGATGGAAGGAGCCATTAGAACATGAGCACACCGTGGTGCATAAATGGATGGACATGGTCATCAACAATATTCAGGTAGGCTGGTAGCATTTAGATGATTAGCATTTAGATCAGGGGTGTCAAACTCAAATACACAGTGGGCCAAAATTCAAAACTGGAACAAAGTCGCGGGCTAACGTTAATATTTATTGAAATATATTTATTCCTCCAGATATAAGAATGAATCTTTTCTTATGGACTCAAACAAGTTTTGCTGAAAAACTGAATGTGGAACAAGCAAAGCTTAATACTAAACAATATATATATTAGCTGTATAATACCAGTAGGCCAGCTCTAATAGTAATTTGGTATGGCTTCGCGGGCCAAATGTAATTAGGCTGCGGGCCAAATTTGGCCCGCGGGCCAGAGTTTGACACCTATGATTTAGATGATGTTCAGCTGGTACTAAGGTGCCCTAAGTGTGCCAAAAAATATCCCCACACATTAAACCAATACTGCCCTGATACAAGGCAGAATGGGTCCATGCTTTCCTGTAGTTTACAACAAATTCTGACCCCATGATCTGAGTGTCACAGTCAAAATTGAGACTCAGACCATTTGACATTTTTCCAGTCTTCTATTGTCCAATTTTGGTCCCCATGAGAATCGTAGCTTCCCAATTAGTTTCGTCACACTTAAGACCACTTCATTTCAAAATCATTTAAATCGTGAGTCTATTTTTATTATAATTATTCTTTTTTTAATATAAAAAATGTCGAACGCAACTAAACTTGCCTCCTAGCAGCGTCCTCAATGGTTTCTCCAGGCTGAACTTTGCCCCCAAACCCGTTCCACTTTCCAGCACCAAAGCCCCTCTTCTTCATACCCAGTAGCACTCTGCCCGGCTGGACAATGAGCACAAGGGTCAGCAGCTTGGAGCTCAACATCTCGCCTGAGTGTGGAGGTAAAGAAATCTGATGTTAAACTAATGCAATGCATCTCCACTGTGCTGCACAGTAAGCGTAATCAGCTGCACACTCCGCTGTGTGCTAACATGGTTACCTGCTAAGTAAAACTGTGCTAGCGTATTGAAAAAAGGAATTTTTTCTCAGCGGTGGCCGAAAGAAAAAAGACGAAAAACTACTTATAAAAACAGTATACTTTGAGTTCAACAACTCCCGCGTGCAGCTGCAGATCGGTTGTCACGTGATGTGCTGATACGTAAGAGCGTGGATGAGTACGATTGACGTAAACTCAGCTCACCGGGTCCATCGCTTTCTTGCTAGATCGGTTAACCGTGGTTACCATGAAATGTGTTCGACTAGAAACTGCAGCTGGTTAATGCTGCAGTTACAGCACGTGTTATCTCACGATAACCCAACAACAAATGAAGGTTATCAGTAATTTATTGATTGATTAATCAGCTGGTAGCTCCATATGTTTTGATTTGGTAAAGTTTTACATCAGATGCTCTTCCTGACAGAACCCCCAAAGAGAGTGGAATCGAATTGGTGACCTTGGTGAGCCAATGTGTTATTCGCCAATCAAACTCTCCAAAGCGTTTTGGAAAGCATTTGTGCTTTACATATGCTGCAATCTATTCCATTAGGGGAGGCCTCGTCTGTCTTTGACAGTGTCACACCTTCTGCACATATTACAGCACTGTAATAAGAGTCTGGATGCTGAACTGGCTTAATATAGCCTGCCTGTCTTCTCACACATTAAAAGATTTTGTACACAGTAAAAAATAAATAAAGAAATGTGACCTAGGATTTCTCAGTATTGTATAAACTTAAAACAAATGGAAAAATAAATTAGGCACATTAGCTTCAATCTGTCCCAGATAGGAACACTTGTTGTGTACATGTTTTGCAGTAAGGGGACGTATATAGGCACGCACCTAACGATTTTGCCCTTAACCAATGAGGAGGGGGGGCTCGTGTATTTCGACGCAAGCGCAGTTCAGCATGCGGTACACGTGACTGCGCACTGTAATAACAATGTGGATGTTTTCCTTGCAGAGGAGATATCTGCACTCCTCGTTGTGTTTGATGAAGAAACTGAAGGGTAAGACGCCAGCGGAGCAGCGCTGGCTCCGACGGCAGCTTAAAGACCCGTATGTCAAAGCTTCCCAGGTCCAAAACTTTCGATGCAGGAGCGCCTTCAAGCTTCTAGAGATAGATGACAAGTTCAGGCTCTTACAACCTGGATACACTGTGGTGGACTGCGGAGCTGCTCCTGGAGCCTGGAGCCAGGTGGCAGTCCAGAGGGTCAATTCAGGTGTGACAGGTGAGAGGACAGGTGTCTAATCACACAGGTTTGTGGGAGGGGCGCCATGATATGATTGTTACGACGTTTAACCTAGAGTTTGTGCTTTTGCTAAGACTGTATGTCAGGGACGACTTTGAGCCCAACCTTACAATATTTTGTCCGATTTTTCCCTATTGCGTAGGGCTTCTGTAGTTTTCCAAGCGTAAAGTATTGTGGCTCATGCCTAATTTTCCTAATAAGATTATATAGGCATCATAAAATGTCATATTGATTGATTTCGTTTTTAAATATCTGCAGTGTGGTTTGAATATTAGCATTCAGAAACCGAAGCTGCTCTTAATATCCATCATGTCGGCGTTTATTCCTAGTGATGCAGATTGATGGGAAGAGTCTGCACTACATTTACCACACAAACAAAAAGCAGTGCTCTGCAAAAAACAGAAGCAGATGTGATAGACTGTGATGTATTACCAAGCTGAAAGTTATTGAAGCCTATGGCAGATGCATTAATAAAAGCAGAAAATTCACAAAAGAAACGTGTATTGGTGATAATATAGAACACGTGCTATTATAATTTGATATAATTATGTGTTATTATAATTATCAAATGAGTTGTCTTGCTTCTCTAGTTGATCGTGCAAGGAAATAGACTGGCTTTTATATCCAGACTTGTCTTTCTTGTAGCTCAGCCTTAAATAACAGAAAAAATAAGCTTGTAAATTAAAGTCACTATCTTTCCTATTACCTTAGATCCAGAGTTGCCTCGTGGTATGGTTGTTGGCATTGATTTGCTGAACATACCGCCTCTGGATGGTGCTCACTTCCTGTCCAATTGCGATGTCACAGACCCTGCCACACATGCCAAGCTGTTGGAGCTTCTTCCCCACGGCAAGGCTCATGTCATCCTGAGCGACATGGCACCCAATGCCAGCGGTTTCAGAGAGATGGACCACGAGAAACTCATCACAATGTGTTTGTCTTTGATAGACTTGGCTGAGAAAATTTTACAGCCCCAGGGTTCTCTTCTTTGTAAATACTGGGACGGGATCCTTGCTCATAAACTGCAGGAAACGCTCTCAAGTGTGTTCAGTAGTGTTCGGACTTTAAAGCCAGATTCCAGCAGAAAAGACTCAGCTGAACGATATTTCCTTGCTAGAATGTACAGAAGGCCAATAAAGTGATGTTTAATTATGGAGTGTGTGCTCCGTTCAGTCTGAGCATGACGAAGGGGCTCTCTTAGTGGCTGTCATCAAAAGATGGCACTGTTGAGGCATCGGTAAGGCTGACTGCTCCAGGCACAGAAGCAAACACATTAAACACTGTGATGCTGGCTTTTAAGCCCTGCAAACTTAACACAGCAGCAGTGAATCAGTAATATGTAAACCTATGCAAGAATCAGTTTGATATTCCTCAAGAGCCCCCAATGCAGTGCTTCTCTGAAGTTATTGTTTGCCCCAAGTGTTTGTTCTACACACTCAGACTGGTATTTGCTTTGTTACAGAAAGTCATCTACCAGTGGTGCTTATGCTAATAATTTGCACTGCCAGCCATGTAGAAATATGTAATAATTCTCTCACTGAGAGCTCACAGAGAGGGAAAACTAATACATAAGAGTCAAACACAGTATGACTAACTGGAAGTGGGATGCTACTCAAGTGTTATTGGGTTCTGACAGTGAAAACATGTCCATTTCCTGTGAAAATGTGATAAGCACAGTCATTTCAGTTTTTCTTTTTTTCTTTCTTTCATATTTTCACAGATCTCCTTTAAATCACTGAGGTGAACACTTTCATTTGTTTTTATTTTTTAGTACAACTGGTCATGAAATAAAAGCACATTTTGTAGTCGTATAGTGTCACAGTCTTGTCCTGACTTGAAGCGCCATTCACCAGAGCCAGATGCATATACGATATCTTTATCTTCTCTTCCCGTCTTAGTGCATTCGTTTTCATGTACAAGCAACTATCATTTTTGGAGGGCATTTTATGCTTTTAGTCCAGTGACAGAAATAGATTGGGAATGACTTGCCACAAAGGTCTCCAGCTGGACACGTACTTGGGATGTTGCTTTACCCTTTGGCCAAAAGGGCTCTGTCATGTACAAATGAGTGAATAACAATGAAATGCAACCATGCGCAGAGGTTCAAAGGAGAAGGAGTTATTTCAGACACCCCTGGTTCTAAAAGGAAAAATCTCCATTCATTTTATAAACAGAGATGCAATTTGCTGAATACTTCTACAGCTCGTATGTCTTTCATGGTTAAATAAATCAGTATAAAAGATTAACATCTGTGTTTGCAAACATTTGGTTCTTAGGTCAAGCCAGACGATAGCTTGATCTCAAGTAAAATAAGTATTTTTCTTTTGAATTCTGATTAATTTGTGGGTGGATTTGTAACAAGTCTACCATAAAAATAAAGTTCTTTAAATTTGCTTTTAAAGGTATAGTAATCCTTAGTACTGCAGTCAAAGCGAATCCAGTTTCTAGAGAGATAAACAGCCTAAAGAGGCTCTCTTATGGTTTTGGGTAGAAATGTTTGGAAGTTAGTAATTTACAACAGTTGAGTAATGAGGTCAAAGATGCATAACATTTAGAGGATGTGCATGTTGCTTTTTAGATTCTAAATTTGTGCAAAAATGTTGAGCCACCTCATATTTCCTAATGTTTTGCTAGAAAAATCTCAAATGGGGGCAATGATTAATTTTTTTCCTGATTTTTTTTTTTTTTAATTTATTTTTTCCTGGTGTGTCTGGTCAAGTTCTTTTCTACTTTGGCATACCTCAGTCTTTTCTCCCTATTTTCCTTTCTTAAGAAGGAATTCACATCAGTCACCCTTCCACCAAGACCATTTGTGATGAAGATTCAGCGAACAGTAGATGGATCAAATGAAGGACCATGTGCAATCTGCTATAGTTTGCTTTTTAGGCCTGACACTTCTTTTGTCCTCTACTTGTCCAGTTTCCAATTTTTTTTTTTAAAAGAACATAACACACACCCTGCCAAGATGTGACATTTTTAGCTAATAGTTTTTTGGGAATCGCCTTGATGGTCAGAAAATAGTATTTTTTTTTTCAAACTGTTTTATCTTTGGCAAGAAATGGGAACCAATTATGTTTTGTTGACAGGTTGTTGGTAACAAATTACCCAAATATACATTTTCAAATGGATTATTTGCTTACTGTTATGTGTATGCACAACACTGGTTCGTCCACTGATTTTGGTTTCTTTGGTGCTTAAATGATTTATAGGTCAGTGCTTTGGCTTAACAAACAAACAAAACAAGACAAAAGAAACCTGGTGAGGTGCAAAGACGGGACTGAGAATGAGTGAAGAAACCAGCCAATGTCCAAAGAAAGAAAACTAAAAGGCCTTAAAGACCTTCAGAAAGAAAGAAGAACTGATGCAGAAACAAAACTACTTCAATGAAAACACACAAAAAAAGAATAGCTTCCCTGGAGGGAAAAAAAGAAAGAGGCGTGGCTCAAGTCTGAATGTAATTTTACTGAATATGAATATTCTGTTAAATTTCATTTTTGCCTTTTTCCCCCAAATGTGTTTAATGCTGAATGTATATCTGAATATATCTATGTCACAAACGGTAACTGAAAATATTTTATTCCTTATGAAAATACAATATAATAAATGACTCACAAGCTGTTCTTGTTTTGAAATCAGTTTAGTCCTAAATTGTTTTGTTTTTTTCAAAGTCTGATCCTGCCATAAAAAGAAAATTAAAATCCTAATCGAGCTCAAATTTGCATTTATGCAGCAAAGAAAGAGATTGCTCACATGAATAAATTAATATGGCTGCTATCTGGCCTCTCTGTCTCAGGAGTGATGAGTAATACAGTGTGAACTGAAACATTCATGCCTCTTGGTAAAATTAACTGCATAGAAGGGAGACTGACCCCTGAAGATGATTGCTTAGAATGAACAGGAGCAGCCATGCCTGTTGATGAAGCTGATCGTGCAAGATGTGAACAGATGACCAATTTTACTTCTCATTACTTGTTGATTATTCAACCCTTTTGCTATTTAGATTTAAATTATTTCAGAATTACTGTGGGATTTATGTAAATTCCATTGGACTCGAGTGTTTCGGCTCAGGATAAATGATGATTCATTCACAGGCTAATTCATTCTTCCCTGGACAGCTGCAGGTATCGTTGTAAATAATAGTAAATGAAGAGAGGAAAACAGAAAGCCACAAATTTTGATATTCAGATCTGTCTGCTGAGATGTGGTAATTACCTTTACAGTCTGCCACGTAACACCAGTTTTAACTGCTTTGGTTTGTTATTGCTGCAAAGGATTATATGAACTTTACTTTTCATAAAAAGTATTCTATCCTTAGCAGGTCTCAAAATCTGGAGCATTTAATCTCAGATGAACTCCAAAACATGACATATTATTTAACAAAAACAAAGCCAAAATGCAGAATGTGTGAAAAACTACAACTCTAAGTACATTCCAACGTCCTTTAGCAGCATCTATTGTAGATTTCTGGTGTGATTGGGATTATTATCCTGTTTACTTTAGTATACAGAGGAGTTCATGGTCAGCTCAGTGAGTACAATGTGCCTAGTTCATATGGCTGCAAAACAAGCCTAAATCATCATCCCTCGACCACTGTGCTTGACAGGTGGCACAAAGTATTTATTTATTTATTTTTTGCCTATGCTTTGTGTTTGGTTTTGATCTAAATGTGATGCTGTGCATTAGGTCCATATATCTTCATGTTAGTCTCATCTGTCCAAAGGACATTGTTCAAGTAGTCTTGTGGTTTGTTTAGATGCAACTTTGCAAACCTTTGTCATGTTGCCATGTTCTTTTTAGATAGAAGTGGGTTTCTCCTGGCAAACAAGAAACACTTGCCAAGTCTTTCTAATTGTACTGTCATGGACTCTAACATTTAGCATGCTATCTGAGGCTTGTAGAGTCTTAGATGTAGCTCAAGGTTTTTTTGTAATTTCTTTAAGAATTGCACGTTCTGACCTTGGGGTGAATTTGCTTGGGTGTCCACTCCTGGAAAGATTAGCATCTGTCTGGAATGTTTTGCACCTGTGAATAATCTTTCTCACTGTAGAAGCAATAGGCTTCAAATTGTTTGGAAATGGCCTTATAACCCTTCCCAGATTGACAGGATGCAACAAGCGCTTCTTTCAGATCAGCGCTGATGTATTTCCTCCTTGGTATTGTAATAATACACACCTGAATAGTCCAGACCAGCAAACTGGCAAAACGTCTGATTTACAGACACTTGCTCATGATCAATTAATCAACTTCATTCTATAATTACCACCTGGCTGCTACTAACCCTGTTAATTCCCACGGAAGCAATAAGGGTTTACTAAGTTTTTTTTTTACATACTTCTTCTGTGTTTTGGCTTAGTTTTTATTAAATAATGAATCTGTATAATACATGTTTTATTTTTAATCTCAGGTTGTATTTAAGACCTACTAAAGACTATATTTCTTTTATTATGTCTTGATATGTAAACCTTATAATTTATGCTTTTTACCTTGACTGTAAGACAAGAAGTAAAAGTACTACTGACAAGTTGCTGAGATTTTGTTGAAAAGGCAGAAGAATATAATTAACAGCTATTCAGTGTCATCCTAATCAGGAATTAATTTGAAATTTCTTATCTTTCTTACATTATAAATAAAAATGTGTTCACATGAATAATAAATACATTTAAGCCTATGTAATCTGACGTTATTTACTCTGGTGGCAAAAGAATGCAGAGGACCGCCAATTAGAAAAGCCCTCAAATGATTTGAAAAGAGAATTGATCTCTTACCAAACAGATTTTTTTGGAAAAACGGTTTAAAAAAAAAAAAAACTCTGAATCTTTCTGGAAAAAAGACCTCCTTTTTGAATTTTGCTCTGTCCCACTAATAAAAACAAACATCGCCTCTAATATTAACACAGTGGAACTCTCAAATTGGCAGGAAATTAAAGAAATGGAAATATCTTTTCTAACCATCGTGCCTTTCATTCCCTTGGCTGACCTGAGTTGCCAAAATGAATTGCTCGTCTGACAACATTCATCATTCCCTGTGCCTGTCCCTGAATGTTAGCAGACTGAGCCAAGCAGGCATTCACTGACGTAAAGTAATGAATACTATTATGATGATAATTTCATACCATCTTCACAGGGGGAAAAAAAGAATCTGAAATCTTAGGGCTGTATGAAGACCGCAACTCTTTTTTTTTTTACTGGAAACTCTTTTAGTTCATGATGGCAAGCCATTTAATATAATGGAAATTTTCTGGTAAACAAGCGTGTTTCTAAGAATACGTGGGAGGGAAAATGTTCTCTTCAGACATCATTTTTATAGTGCCTCATTGCCTCTCAGACAACTGTAAAAAAACAAAACAAAACACAAAAACTTACAGGTATTTTGTGTCTGTTTCCCTGGCATTGTTACACAAAAGGACACATATCAGTGAACAATCTTGATCTTTGCTCATCGGGGGCTGCAGCAGCCCTGCAGAAAAATGTCAGGAACATTATTGCAAACGGGGTGAAGTTTGGATGTGGTACGAGGGTTAAAGAGACTGAGGATAAACAAAGCACGGTGTACATTTGTAACCCCATATCTACTGACATTTACGGGGCAGAGCGGAAAAGGGAAACCGAGAGATAAAAACTTTGAACTAACTTTGTGTTAAGATTTTTGCAAGTGTGGATGTTTTCTGGTGATTTGTCACACTGGGTTAGTAAACTAATGTGTGATAAAAGAGTGCAGAGAAGAAGAAGATGGTGATCAAATATTGTTGTCACGGTCCTATTAATAAGCTGTTGTTTGTGTTTTCAATTCTTATCTTTTTTCTTCTTATTTCCTTGTGTATTTGAGGGTGTTTGCCATTTTTATGTTCCCACTGTCTTTGTCTTGCTGGTTTTGTAGGTGAATTTAATGATGGAGTACAGACATATGGTCCAGAAAACTGACCTCCTAAATCCTTTTCCTAATCACTTTTCCTTGACCTCAGTGGAAAATGTCATGAAAAGGTGGGAAACAGAATGTATAAGAGCTTAGGAAATGTGAAGTATGTGGACAATCTGACTGCACTTGCACTAGACTTCTTAACAATGTGATGATGAATGTCTGTCCTTTTGAAACTAGA